CGTCGCCTATAGACATGAGCAGTACCACGGATATAACAGAGTATATTGTCTCGCCCATGATGTGCCATGTGTTGCCATTTCTGAGGACTCGGATGTAATTCCTCTGTACACAAGAAACACAGCCATGCAAACACAGCTGTTTTACGGTTGAAACACGAATGGAACAGAGATACCCAAGCAAACGACTTTAGTACAAAGTCTCCCTCTGGTAAACTAAACTTTAATAAATTAATTATGAACAATGTCAACACACCAAACAATATGTAACCGATCATAAAGTAACAGTAAAGAAACCTTTGAAATTACACCCTTATTCAATCATTAAACTACCTGGTGACACTATTCATCTTTTACTTTTACGAAAGTAACCTTGGACCAAAAATTGGTTGACTTGTTAGTTGGAGAAAAATTAATCTGGTCTTACACTATGTACAATAAATAAGATAGAATATAATTTGCTTTGTATAACCGGCCAATGTAAATGCACTAGTCCATTAATATTACACCCTCAGTGCAAGAGGACTATTAAACTTGGTGGGTTATGCTAAACAAATACTATTATGATTTGTATAAAATGGGCTTTTAAACCTCTTGAATTTACACAACATGTGTGTATTTTAGTATGTTAATTTATAATATAATTTAATCTAAAATTTACACTGAGATGGGTTCGCACTTGATCTTAGTACACATGATAAAAAGTGACAGCATAACCTAAAATAAATGTGTTTACCGAGGTGATAAGTAATTAAATTTTAAAAACATACCTGTTTCCTTATCTTGCAGGCTCAGGACAGTTTCTGTAGATGAACGCCTAAATTGTTCATCTAAAAAAAAATAAGATATTTAATCAAAATATGAATCATAAATCATAAAAAAAAAACTTAAAAATGAATGGTACAAGATATGACTGTGTTCTACCATGTATATAAACAATTTTTTTTAATTTATGTATCATTCAAATACATATTTTTTTTATATACATTATTAAATTCAAATTTCATTTGTTAGGTCCAGTCACGCATACAAACTTCAGAGAAAACATAGTTTATTTATAGCAACAATACACAAATTACACATGTGTATGCCACAGCAACACAAAAAGGGCAACATTCAGTGTGTAGCTATACCTTGCTAGATTCTAAATCAGTTCTGTTAATAATCATTCAATTTAATTATATATTTATTTAAGGTTATAGCATTTAGGTTACTTCTTAATTTTAACAGTGTACAGATTTTTTTGCCACAACTATGGCCTGAAATGAAAAAATCCTAATTGCAAATATATCAACCAGGTTTATTATAATGCTCTAAATTTAATTATTATTCTCAATTTTCTCAAAATACTATTTATTTATTTATTTAAGGACAACCAACAGCATACATATATATCCACGATAATATAGTTACATTATAAAATGCTGGCTTAATTAATATTATCATAGTTATCATTACTTAAATAAATAATAGCTTTTATTGTAACAGCAAAATATTATGGTCCATTTTAAAGAACTTTCCTATCCGTAATGTGCAGTAACTACAATATTTATTTTATTGTACACTAGATTTTAAATGTTTAAATGTGTGAAAATTAACAAAGTTGTACTTATGCATTCCAAACAGTAAATACATTTATGACTAGTAATGTCTTTAAAATGCTAAACAATAAACGAAGTCACTTGAACATCCTGCTAGTCCCACTAATAGGAGGGAAAGGGATTGTTAGTAATGGAGACTGAGAATCCTATTGCTAGCAATATACCCAATCAGGTCGACTGGAAACTATCATGTTTAATTCCTGATGAATTCATCATAATGGGCTAACTGGCCTGTTTTCATTCTCATCTATCACCCTTTACTGGTGCTCCGCCAGCGTATCCCGTTATCGCAGGAGGGGTTACCATACCATTTTCACCCAACAAAAAAAGTCCCACTAATATTATGTGAAAGTTTGTTTCTCAGTCATGTGTTCATAGGTTATTTATCCTGATGCATCGAGACAAGCCATAGAAAGCTGGTAGTTTATAACATTGTTAAGGATTTCAAATAAACCAATATTATATATATTCTTTATTGCACTCATACATACATTTTGTATAATGAAGGCAAATGAAAACAAAATGGCTAGTTATTGTTTGCATAACCGATAATAATAACATAGGTATATAGATATGCTAAGAAAATCCCGCCCGAATCAGTGCATATGTACCAAATGGACGAGAGATGTACCGGATTACAATAAAGTCATAACGACATTTTTTTATTATTTGTTTGTTAACTATACTAGATCTTTGGAGAAAACAATAAAGAGTCAATTCAAAAGAGAATTTACCTATACTGGATTACTGGATTCAATCATGAAAAATAATAAAGCGTGGTTCACAAAATGGAAGCCACAAAAGATAAAAACTAAAAACACAAAATACGCACCTAATGTCACGGACGTGGACATTGCCTTAAATTTTTAAATTTTTAAAAGCTTCAAATTCCTTTATAATTTTTTTTTATTAATGTTTTACGGCTCTGGATACAAGTCCCTTTGAACCTGACATAAAGAATTCACTTTAAATTGAAGTTTTTACCATACGTCGCAAATATCACCATATCTATAATTATATATTATTATCTATCTTACCCAAGACTTACACACTATAATATATAAGTAAATCAAATCAATCGAATAAAGGGTTGACCCTTAACAGCGCACATATGCATTGATTTTACTAAAGCGACAAATGGTGATTATAAAAATGATATGGCACTCGAAAGCTTAAGATGTCAGCTTTAATTTGATATAACGTAAGAGTAGGAAAAATGGGAATTTAGAAAAAGGGCCTAGGTTCCGTATTTAGGAACTAAAAAAATTAAAAAAAAATTAAATCAATACTTCGTATTGCCCCCTCTAACCTGTTTTTCATTGATTTCGTTTTATAAAAAATTTTAATAGTTATGTAATTACATAAGAAAATACATAAAAGTTTAATACTTATATTTTTACTATTTATTTTAACATTAATTAACTAAATATTAAAAAACGGAACAGTAACATTTTTAAAAAAAAGCTCGTCGTCAGCCAATTATGAACCAATTGCCTTCTCTTCCTTTAACTTGCGCCTCATGTGATGTTACTATCTCATTCTACTTCGCAGCTTGTTCGATTGGTGTAGTTATGTCGAGTATTATACATCACACGCTATGGCATGGTACAATGCAGGTAATAGGTACATACACATATCAGTACAACTCAAACAGTGAAGCATAGATAATTTACGAAAGAAATTGAGCCGGCGGCAATACAGCTTATGTAACTCGAGTTTTTTGATTCGAATCGCCCATCGCTAAACGAAAGTCCCGCTTTCGTAAATATACCAATGTATTAATCACGTGTTTTGGAGAGAACTTCAGTTTAAATAACAACGTTATAGCAATCATTCATGTAAAATAACTAAATTAGGATTGAAAAATTGATAAAATAAACACTTTAATTTTCAAATTAAAGTGTTTATTATAGAAAATACTATAAAAATATACTAAGTTTACTTTGGGTATATCACAAAAATATGGAGATTAGAGCTACTCAATTTCTTTAACCGTTAGAAATAGAAATTTGAAAATAAGCAACAATAAGTAGTATGACGCAAAATGGAGATTTTTAAAGAAATATCAAATTTTGAAAAACAGCAGATTCGTAAATTTGCCATAGAGGTGACAATATGACACCTAAGATCACGCTATTTTTCATGTCTCATTTCGCTATTTCGCATATTATTTAGACTTGAAAAATATTCTACAAGTAATATTCATAGCACGCAACAATCATAACAAATAATACGTGTTTGAAATTCCACAAAACATTTTCTCCATAAAGTAGCCATAATTTAAATTAAAATTATTTTTGTGTATGATTCTATCTAAGCACAGACCTCTATATTATTAGCTACTCTATGCGTTCTTAGTAATGCCTTAAATCCAGTTGGAATCAATTAATCGATTATATATTGATTTTTTTTATTGATAGACAATAATAATTTTAAAACCAGATATATATAAAAAAATTAATATCTCCTATTCAATAATACAGATCTAGAAGATATTCCTACAATGCTGCCCTTCTGAGGAGTAATGCGAAGTTGTTAATGTTCTTAAGTTGTGGATTATGTGTTCATATTATTAAATTTTTGTTGAATTTTTTATTGTAGATATGTTTTATTGATAATACTGTATAGTATAAAAAAAATATTCTTATAACCGTTGTATGTTGAATAATATTTTTGAAGATATTACGGATTTAAAATGCAGGGACATAGCGGTTGCGATTAAATTCAAATTGGAATTATAGTTTTAAAATATAAAATATGTTTAAACAAATTCATAATTAATTAGAAGGTCAATAAGTTCAATCCTATTTTAAACGCAAAACTTTGTAAAAATGTTTGCATGTTTGTTACTTACTCATCCACGTTGAAATGGAATTGTTAAATAGTAAAGATCATATCCTAGATTAACAAATAATTTATACGTTTCACTTATTTATTTTCTGTAAAAAGCATAATAAATAAAATTTTAGTAAAACTTACTTAGAATTATCAAAACTCAACTCTTAATTTTAATAGGCATACAAAATACATAAATTGATTATATTCTTAAATCAATGTGATACTGACGAACTATGAAATTTAATAATGTGCCGAGTCGGCTTTTTTTGGTATTCAGCTGCATATTTTGGTGATCATTAAAATGAGCAATTTAATCGAAAGAAAAAGATACTTAAATACTTGTACGAGTATTCAAATACTTAATCAGACTTAAGTATTGTTTAATTAATTTCCGATGTTTATTTTTATAAAGATATTAATTATTCAATAATGAATTTTTCTTGATTTCTTGATGATTAAGAAAAATAATAATAAAATGCTAAAAAAGAAATAGAAAATTTGTTATAAGTGCATAAGGTATGATAAGAACCAAAAACCTGTATTCGAGTACCATGTAAGCGAAATCTGTATGTGCATTGAGTCGTACTCGAGTTCCTATCTAATTTTTATTCGAATCAGTAATCGCATTGTTCTAATTTAGTACAATGGCATCACTAATATAATTTCTTTTGCTTGTGGCATGGTGTCGGAATAAGGTGAGTGGATCAATTTTGTGTAATTTTTATGAAATATCACGTAAGTTTTTCACTATTACTGTTTAAATTTTTTCTTAACATTGTACTTTTGAAGATATTTTTCAAAATAATTATTTAGAAGCTCATTTAATCGTTTACATTTAACACGTGGAGTCGTATACGTACCTACGCCATCATTTTAGGTTACCTCGAAATTTTACTTATTTTCGTTTACACCCTTTGTTATTATCAAGAAAATAGGAAAAACGACGTCTTTAATACATAGTGAAGGAGTTAACAAGTGCATTAAAGTGAAATTTAGAACTGGAAACAACTGATGACGCATAATTTTGTTGTAGTTGCCGAATAAGCAACCACAATGCCGCAAAACGAATATATTGAACGCCATCAAAAGCTTTACGGTAGGAGGCTCGACTATGAGGAGCGGAAGCGAAAGCGCGAGGCGCGCGAGCCTCACAAACGGGCAGAGAAAGCGCGCAAACTGCGAGGTATTAAGGCAAAGATTTTCAATAAAGAGCGCCGCAATGAGAAGATACAAATGAAAAAGAAGATCAAAGCGCACGAAGAGAGGAATGTGAAACAGAACACAGAGAAAGTTTCAGAGGGCGCAGTGCCTGTGTACCTGCTCGACAGAGATGTCCAATCCCGAGCGAAGGTGCTGTCTAACATGATCAAACAGAAACGCAAAGAGAAGGCCGGCAAATGGGATGTGCCGATACCGAAGGTGCGGGCGCAGGCGGACGCCGAAGTGTTCAAAGTGCTAAAGTCTGGGAAATCTAAAAGGAAAGCTTGGAAGCGAATGGTTACCAAAGTGACATATGTTGGGGAGAACTTCACTCGGAAACCACCAAAATTCGAGAGGTTCATCCGGCCTATGGCTTTACGTTTCAAGAAGGCACATGTGACTCATCCAGAGTTGAAAGCCACTTTTTGTTTACCTATAATAGGCGTCAAAAAGAATCCGAGTTCTCAAATGTATACAAGTCTGGGTGTGATAACAAAAGGTACAGTGATCGAGGTGAACATTTCAGAGCTGGGGTTGGTCACACAGGCGGGCAAAGTGGTGTGGGGCAAGTATGCACAAGTTACAAACAATCCGGAGAATGATGGTTGCATTAATGCTGTGCTTTTGGTGTGAATTGTGAATCATTGGTTAAATAAATAATTACAAGATTTATTTATTGTTTGATTTGTTGTGATCCAATAAGTTGTTATTTACCAGTTTTTTTTTTGTTTTTTAAATAAAATTAAGTTCTTTATGGACAGACTTGTTTATTTATTTATTTTTTTGTTAAAAATGTCTGTCTATTGAATAAGATTGTGCAATTGAACATTCAGGTGATCAATATACAGAGTAGGATTGTATGATATTGTATTTTATAAATAACATTAATTTCCTTAACAAAACAAATCCTTAAAACTGATAATTTGTCTGTGATATTTAAAGTTTTGTATTTTCAATTTATAAATTTGTTTATTATGTTTTACACACCACTCTACAGTATTTCATTTTGTCAGTGAATCTGAAATTTGCCCTTTATAAAATTTATGTGTATAGACACAAACGTAATATATTTATTATAGGTACTTCATATAAATCTACTTAGCTACTTCTCAATTGGCGAAGGGTGTACCACAATGTTAAACTGATTCATATCTTCAAATACATTGAAATTCAGGTTATATACCAATACCATTCAAATACCTTCAAATTCCTTTGTGGTCACCAGATGGATTTAGTAAGAGAGGATGAAATAATATTTTTATATTTTGACTATTGTTTTAGAGGCAAATTGACCAGTCTTATAAATACTGTCACCCATTTGGCCTTCATGATGAATGTACCTGTGATTAAACATGATGTTTTTCAGGGGGAGACCATGTGAAGGTCAACTTGATAGGGTATATAAGCCAGCAATGGCACTGGTAGTCCGTACCCTCTTGTTTTTTTTTTATGGGTGAAAATGGTATGGTAACTCCGCCTGCGTTAACAGGATACGCTGGCGAAGCACCAGTGAAGGGTGATAGATAAGAATGAAAACAGGCCAGTTAGCCCATCATGATGAATTCATCAGGAATTAACCATGATAGTTTCCAAGGGGAACCGCGAGGAGGTCGACCTGGTCTCCATTACTAACAATCCCTTCCCCCCCCCCCCCCTTCTTGTGTTAGGAAGAGCTGCACGTCACTTAACCAATCACACTCGCATTAAGTGAAAACAACAATTGTAAGAATTTTTATATTATTACAGGTGAATCAAGATGCAGATCTTTGTGAAGACCCTTACGGGCAAGACCATCACTCTTGAGGTCGAGCCGTCCGATACCATCGAGAATGTAAAAGCTAAGATTCAGGATAAGGAGGGCATTCCACCTGATCAACAGAGGTTCGTATCCACTGACCGTATCAATAACGAGCATGTCACGCCGAGTGCTCGAGACCTAAACTGTGCTAGGGAACATATGAACAGTTATTACATCAAACTGAAGAATATACTTCAAGATTTCCATCTTGAAGTTTTACATTTAAATGCCAATGCATAACGGAGACACAGTATTTTCTGTTATGTCCAATAGTACTGTCCATGTCTATAGGTGACAGTTACCTCTTTCCGTCAGGTGGGCAGTCAGCTTGTTTTCCTTTGTAAGTTCCATTAAAAAAAAAAATTAGACATTACTAACATTATGGACAATCGCAGAATATATTGCTATATCCATGACACCACTCATGTTACTATTCCCATAAGGAATTAGATGGTAAAGCCTCCCATAACTTTCAATATCACTGCCCCATATCCTACGAATCAGAATACAACTGGTGTAAGCATACCTGCTTGTCAGCAAAGACATGAGTGAGACTGAGGTGTCTTCCAGATGACTTGTATAAACTCCCTTCTGGTTAATTTTAAACATATATATATAAAATTTGCGATTGCTAGTCCCTATTACTAACGATCCCCCCACCCCCTTCCTTCCTGTCAAATAAATTTGGTATATAGGTAAGTTGTAACCTAATTTAACACAATACTTCTATCATCGACTCACGAAGGCATAGTGATATTAACGGAGTTCTGTATTTCTAGATTGATCTTCGCCGGCAAGCAGCTCGAAGATGGCCGCACCTTGTCTGACTACAACATTCAGAAGGAATCCACCTTACACTTGGTGCTCCGCCTTCGTGGTGGTGCCAAGAAACGCAAGAAGAAGAATTACACCACTCCCAAGAAGAACAAGCATAAGCACAAGAAAGTCAAGTTGGCTGTGCTTAAGTACTACAAGGTATAGTATATGCTATGGATAGACATCCAACTATGTCATAGACAATATACATAATATGATTTTTCTCTTTTACCCATCCTTTTAGAGAGAAATTTAAAAGGAAAATTTAACAAACTAAACTAAGGTTGAAAAAAAAAGAGTATACAATGATATATTTGGACACAGGTGGACGAGAACGGCAAGATCCACCGCTTGCGGCGCGAGTGCACCGGCGAGCAGTGCGGCGCGGGCGTGTTCATGGCGGTGATGGAGGACCGCCACTACTGCGGCAAGTGCCACAGCACCATGGTCTTCAAGGATGATGACAAATAGGCTGTAATCACTAGTGTTAAGCGCTCGCGACCGCTGTGTATGATGGATTGAATAAATCTTGACACAGTGTCACGGGTGGTTTCGTTTTATTTCACTCTCTAGCTCTTTTATTTCTATTCACCACAACTCAACAACATGGCGTTAGGGTGTCAAAAAATAACTTTTTTTTTTATACAAAATAGAATGGCAAACAAGCTGACGGCTCACCTGATGGAAAGTGGTAACCGTCGCCTATAGACATGAGCAGTACCATGGACATAACAGAGTATACTGTTTCGCCCATGATTCCCCCCATGCGTTGCTATTCCTGAGGACTCAAATGTTATTACTCTGTACCCTGTAAATTCACGCCATATCCCTACCTTCAAACCGAAACACAGCCATGCAAACACAACTGCTTCACGGTAGATACTTTACAGTTACATGATTTTTTTATGAAACAAGTACTAGGGTTGCCAAAAAAATGCCAAGAGGAATTTAGGATTTCCAGTTGTGTACCGAAAAATAGTACTCATAAATAACTTTTTTTTTTTAAATTTATTTGCTCAAGTAAATTACAATAATCAATATATGTATCAGGTAGGTAATGTTTTTAATGGTTTATGTAGCTTAGTCTACCAGAATAATTACAATGTAACAGTCTCTGGGTTCCTCTAAACAAGGCCTTTAAGGCATTTAATCAATTAATAAGCCAAAGTTTTGTTTATAGAATCCGACCGACAAACTAGAATTTGTCGAATGTTGCTGCTAAAAATACATTGCTAGTAGTAAAACTTAATAAATTTTACGAATCATAAATTCAAAAACAGCAAAAATATGCTGTCTGTGCCATACATAGTTAAGGACTTTGTATCAATGTAGATAGTTCAAGTTTTATTTTAAATTTCCGCCTCATGTTTCTTTAGTGAGAATATTCAGTCTAAAAGGGTTTGACCCATTTAGGTTACGCCTTGTAAATATATTTGGCAACCCTAGAAACATACTGTATACTTGCTGAGAACGTTTCGCTTCATCCCAATGTTTGTGACAGTATCACTCGCATTGTGTCGACTTATGTGACACTCGTCATATGGCACCTTTCATTCAAATTGGAAAATGGCTTGTATTCAAACTTATGTAAATTAAGAATTATAGTGTCAATGGAATGATAACGTCAGTATACGCTATATTAAAAAAAAAAATTAATGGATGATGATGGAATAGTAACCTCCGCCTGCGCTATCGGTATTAGTGTATACCGATAGCGCAGGCGGAGGTTAGAGGAGGCGGGGCACCAGTGAGTGATGATAGGTGAGAATGAAAAGACAGATCATTTAGCCCATCGTGTTGAACCACTCCCCCCCGATAGATGAGATTTTTTTTAATGGGTGAAAATGAAATGGTAACCCTGCCTGCGCTATCGGTATACACTGGCGGGGCACCAGTGAGAGATGACTGATGAGGATAAAAGCAGGTCAGTTAGCCCATTGAGAAGAATTCCACTAGAATTAATCACGGTAGATTGCTAGCAATGGCGGTGTTAGACCCCCATTACTAATAATCCCTTTCTACCCCGATAGATGAGATTAGCCATGTGGTCCTGGCATAGACATCCTTTCTCGTGGGTGGCGTAAGAAGCGACTAAAGGAACTTAATGGTCCAGAGATGGACAGCAGCGTCCCTCTTAAAACATCTCTAAAAGCCTAACTGCAGTTGCCAACCCGCCTGTCAAGTGTGACGAACACTGCCAATAAACAATAGCAGAATATGACTACCTTTTTGATGTATGGTTTGACAAACTGACTCACCTGCGTGGAAATGGATTGTTAGTGATGCGAATTTTACAGTTCCATTACTAGTAATATACCTTATTAGGTCGACCTCCACGCGGTTCCCCTTGGAAATCATAGTGATTAATTCTTATGGAATTTATCCCGATGGGCTAACTGATCTGCTTTCATTCTTATCTATCATCCCTCACTGGTGCCCTGCCAGCGTATAGCGTCAGCGCAGGCGGGGATACCATGCCATTATCATTCCACGAAAAGAAACTGACTCACCTTCCGATGGTTACGACTTCAATTCTTCTCATTACACACATTGCGTCCACGTTAGTATATCGATGTAAGTGTTTTCTAAGTACAATATGAATGCATTAAAAAATGTACGAATTTGTATAGTTTTTGTACGTGTGGTACAAAACTTTTCGTTTGTAAAAGAATCATTAAAATCGGTACAGATTTAGATATCGGAAGATACAATTTGATGGTCTCATTAAACCTTGGTTGCAACATTTGGACACTGTGTAAGTAATCATTAAATATTTCGACGAAATTAAATTAATATCAAATCTTGTGGAACGAGCTCGAATCTGTGGAAGTAAGAGACGGAAATATAGGCTTTCTCAGGTAAGAACACTACGACCACAGTTGAATTTAAAATAGTGTTATGTTAGAAGTATTACACAATATAACACGTTTAAAACAAAAAAAAAAAATATACCTGTCATGAAGAACCCTGCATCGTGAACCAAAGGTACGTACAGGCATTTACGGCAAGTATTGACAATAAATGATTTGTTTTATTAACAGGTTTTTTATTTTTAAAATGACTTCCTAAATTTTTATCCAAGTAGTATTATTTGAGAAAAAAAATGTCCTAAAAAATGGTACGCAATAAAAATAGTACTTGTACAACAAAATTAGCATCTATGGCTGTTTTAAACGTTTCACTTTTAAATTAAAAATGTATCGGTAAAGAAAAAGGCAAAATACCCTAACAGCTAAAATGATTTTATGACAGTTTTGACGTTTTTATGGCTTAGATTGTAGGATTAACTAATAATGAATTAATATAGAATGGGAACTCCGTCTGCGCTAATGGTATACGCTGGCGGGGCACCAGTGAGACGATTTTACTGTTAAATGTAATTTGTAAAGATATTTGGATGTTTGTTACTCGGTCTTCAATAATCAAACATCGTCTTGGTTTTGCCAAAGACTGTACAAAAGTTGACTGTACTTTAATAGATGATAATGGAATGGTAGCTTCGTCTACGCTAACGGTGTACGCTGGCGGGGCACCAGTGAGGGATGATAGGTGAGGATGAAAGCAGATCACAGCCCATCATAACGAATGCAACAAGTATTAATCACGATGATTTCCAGGGGAACCGCGTGGAGGTCGACCTGACAGGACTTGCTAGCAATGGGGCCATTAATCTCCATTACTCTATCTCTAATTACCATTTCATAATCACCCATTAAAAAAAACCACAACAATAGTAGAAATAACATATTAAATATTTAAACATATAACACTGGTAATCCGACGAGACTCCAGCAAGTTGGTGGCAAACGCGTCTAAATAATAAAACTGCAATTTCATTAAAATATTTATTCAATACTGCTGATAGATTTGTCTAGCAAAGTAAATCACTTAGTACAACTAAGGAATTGTTTGTGCACTCACGCCGAACTACGTTTGGCAAGGTCATGCAAATGCACCGTAACTACCACTAATAGGAATTTATGACAGCCACCCCACTATTACATACAAATTAATTAATGTATTCAGATCATTTACACATTATGGAATGAATATGGTTATGCTAGGTTTACACGCTTGCTACAAGAATCTTTTGCCACGCACAAACGTGTAGAAGCATTGCAAGTGCTTGTCGCAAATTTGGTTTACATACAGACAGATAATAGGATGAATTCTGCAAATTTCGTTAAATTACTGTTTTATGGACGATTACAAACTAAAAAAAAAATCTATTGGAAAATTAGTTCATATTCGACCTTACATTAAAGATTTCGCCGTGATATCAAAATATTGATAATAAAATTTGTTTTTTTTTTTAATCCCAATGTAAATCGGATCGGCGATAAAACTAAACATACGATCAGCATCCCTAAAAACCAACGGCGAAGAGTAGTAAATTACTGACAAGCTACTGTACCTATAATATGAATTTATATGTTTTTTTAATTCACCATCAAGATTAAACGCGGTGTGATTAAAGGTAAGCAGTCTTTGTCCAATAACAATATTGCTCTTCTTTATCTCTGCGTTACTGACCTACTAGTTTGTTAAAGTTCGGTTGAAACAAAATTATTTCACTACAAATATAACATATATTATTATGCTATTATTATTAATAATTATTTAATATACTATTTAAAATCTATGTCACATTTCTTATTCCCTTTCATTTTTTTCAAAGAATAATATGTACATACCTGATTTTTATTGCAGACCATTCTACGTAGATTACACCATGTCGGTTATGGCAGGACTGAACGTCGCCAATAAAATTCTTGTATGTATACAGTTACCTATAATCGCGTCGCGTTAAGTTCCGGATCGTAAATTAAAAATATGTGTAAACAACGTGAAAGTTTAAAACTAGCTATGTGCTCAAACAAATGTCAAATCTAATATTTTTTTTTTATATAACGACAATGAAAAAAAAATCAATGTCGCTATTGTTTACGTTCTACACGTTTGTGTCCGCTTGTCATAATAAACCGAGCGTGTAAATCCAGCATAACATTAAGAAAAAAAAAATACAATATACAAAATGCTTCCAGAATCAAGAACCACTCATAATTGACATACTTATTGAAATCACAAAAAAAAAAAAAAAAAAACTGCAGCACCGCAACTAAAAAGTAGTAAGAGAAGAGATCGTTACAACTATACAATACAATAACACAACTGTACAATATAGGATGTTTTTAAACATTAATATACATATATTTATATCTTATACTTAGTCTATAAACATTTAAATTTCAACATTTTATATTTTTTTTTTGTATACATCTCGATGATTTATATAAGTTATCACTAATTACTAGTATTGTTGTTATTGACACTGGGTCGCTGACACCGGCGGACGATTGCTTCAAGCAATATTTATTATACAAGAATATTTTTTTACAAAATAAATATATATACATATGTATGCAGTAAAATCATTAAAAATCAAAATTGCTGTAAAATTTTCGTTAAAAGGAATATCATAATCGGCAAAGCCATCAACTAATACACACAAAAATATGTAATGGAATTGACAACTACTAACTTTTTAAAGTTGTTTGAATTTATTACAGACACGAGTTGAAAATCGTATTTCAAGTAAAAAAAATCCTTGTTATCTGTCAAAATAGACTTGTAGCTGTTTAGATAAACGTCTTTATTAAAACACGCAATAAAAAAAAACAAGGCTGCAATGGAAACGAAAAGATAGTATTCACAAGACTTAAAAAATATTTTTAGGCTTCCATTACAGCTTGTATGATATTTTGAAAAATAAAGTACATGATGAAAATATATATATATATATATATATATATATATATATATATATATATATATATATATATATATATATATATTATATGTAAATATTTTTAAACAAATCACTTGGAAATTGGTAAATATTTTATAATTTAATAAGTTCAAAATCAAAACAGGTAAAAATAACAAACAACTATTCACCTGTGTTTACCTTTTTTAATTTTATTTTCTGTTAGTATCTACGTGCTCGAATCAAAAAACCTTAAACCATGGAGATCGCAAGACGAGCATAGAATTGATGGCAATAAATTATCGCTCATTAAGGTCAATTTTGAGACACTATTCCCTTTACCTATCTCTAAAATTAATTTTAAAATTTCGTGTTAGTATTATTTGACAAATCAATACGAATTAATTAATTAATAATAATAATCAATACTAAAATGGTTTTTTTTATACAACTTAGAATAGCAAACAAGCTGACGGCCCACCTGATGGAGAGTGGTAACCGTTGCCTATAGACATGAGCAATACCATGCACATAACAGAGTATACTGTTTCGCCCATGATACCCCCCCATGCGTTGCCATTCCTGAAGACTCAGGTGTTATTCCTCTGTACCCAGTAAATACACGCCATATGCCCACCCTTCAAACCGAAACACAGCCATGCAAACACAACTGCTTCACGGTTGAAACACGAATGGGTGAGTTTTTTTTAGAATAAAGATTAAGCTGTGATATCAAATTAAAATCAGAGATAGGTTTTACTTAACGGCGTCTTAGAATATATCCCATTTCTTATACCATGGTGCAGGTAAGATGGAAGAGATGTGAAAAATCATTAAATTTAGTTTCTAAGCTTTTTACAAACGTTTTATTGTGACAGTTTGCTTTCTCCTTGCGGTATTAATTATTTGTTATTATAAAGTCATTAAGTTGATTCTGAGGCACCATGTCTCTAGACCCATCTTTAAACATGCTGCTTTCCACTTTGGGTGTTGCTGGAAGAGAACTCTTTTAGAGTTAAGCTCGGCTTTGTACATATGCTTACCTCTGTCATATTTGTTATGTAGTACTAGTGTGTACAATAAAGTATAAATAAATAAATAAATTTAAAAATTTCATATTGATATTTTAAATTGTTATTTTAAAGACCGATACGAACTAAATCCTTAATATATTTAAGTCAAAATTATTATAAATTTAGTTAAATTTAGTCCATAAAACAGTTATTTCGTGAAGCTGTCGCATTAACGGTATTATATGTACATAGGAGTAAGAGATAGCTTTAGGAACATGGCACCTCTGAAACTGTAGTTTTTAATTTAACAGTTTACCAACGTAGCGTAACATTAGTGTAAGGAGCTAAATAACGCTGTAAACTATACATACGACGTTCGAACCCCTCAATAGTCACATTATTACAAAAAAAAAAAATATTGAAAATTTCATGTAAAGTCCAAATTGTACAGATTAATAATAGATATACAGAAACTAAATTAGATCGAGTCAGTATTGTCACGATAACCATGCATTTGTACTTATTAATATCATTAGTTCAGGGCCGGGGTTATTGTTTGATAATTTGATAAAATAAACGATTTTGATTCGTTGCACGCTATTTAAAAGTGGAAAATGTTAGCAAAATCATTGAATGTACCAGACATTCAGTTATTAAAACTAACTTATTGCAAATTAATTATATTAATACCTTATTTAAGTATTACAAATTTTGGCTGTCACCTTGAAGTACGCGCTTAACAGTACTAAACAACTAGCGGCCAACCAAAAATGCAACAATAAAAGTAAATCTTATCACATACGTTTTTGGTAGGAGCTGTTACAATTTAGCTATACATATATCTATGTACCGAAACAAAAGTAAATAACGCCTATATTGGTTACACAATTTTTTATTGCATTGTATGTACACATACACATACGATTTTTGATAAACCAAATAATTTAAAATTTATATTTCAATATATTAAATTTGATTTAATTCATGGTAGTTCATAAGTTTAAATCATAAATATAAATAGGAATAATGTGTAAAAGAATATATTTAAAAAAAAAAGAACTTGTAAATACATAGTATTAAATTTGCGTACGACTAAAACGAGAAATAGAAACGCTAAGCGTATATTGAAAAAACACTTATAGAAATATTAAATTAACGTATCTAATTTTATCACAGTGGGGGATCCGTGAGGTTTTCATTGTACAGAGACATCATTACATTCAATTAGAGCAAACTAATTCTAAATAACAAACGTGCATTTACATTTATTATTTGTCTGACAAAATTATATGAAAATTTAGCTTGCTGGACGAATTCTCATCGTTAGCTTGAGTCAATTAATTAGACCAACACGAGTACGATCTAATCATGAGTATATACTAATTCAGTTCTGATAAATTAAACCGAAACGCAATTAAATATATTAGAAAGATAAATATCAAGACAGGCGTTCTAGTTTTTAGTTCAGTTTAGTAAAACTTTTAAGCAGGGTTGCCATCTCTTCGGAACATCCGGACTTTTTGGCACGTCTGAACAATTTCTTATCAGTATTCAATTGTCACATTACACTGGGGCTAATTGTGTAGAAAACTTCCACATTACTTGGGACCTCCACAAAAGTTGGCTGTTTTCCACATAACTTGTTTCAATTATTAAAGAACAAAATTTATTTAACTACAATATAATTTTGTGACTAAAATATCTGAATCTTTTTTCTTTTTTATACAACTTAGAATGGCAAACGAGCTGACGGCCCACCTGATGGAAAGTGGTAACCGTCGCCTATAGACATGAGCAGTACCATGGATATAACAGAGTATACTGTTTCGCCCATGATACCCCCCATGCGTTGCCATTCCTGACGACTCGGGTGTTATCCCTCTGTACCCTGTAAATTTACGCCATATCCCACCCTTCAAACCGAAACACAGCCATGCAAACACAACTGCTTTACGATTGAAACACGAATGGGACAGAGGCACTCAAGTAATCGACTTTTGTACAAAGTCTCCCTCTGGTCTCTCTCTCTAATCTCTTTTAAATATCCGGATTTTTGTTAGTACTTCAAATTATTAGAATGGTCACCCTACTCACAAGAGACAGTGGTCATTACAAACTGACCAAAACTACAAGAACGCCAGCGTGAATTTTATTTAAAAATATAAAATCGCTCGCACTTAGTCTAAAAAAAAATTAAATTATTTCACACACATTGAAAGTATCAAATATTCTCACGTGAAAACCTCTATCAGACATTTATGATAAACATCTTAAATTCAAAAACGCACTTGATCCGTGTCACAGCTCCACGCGGCGGTTTAATATCGCGAACCGAACGGCGAGTACAAATAAATGTTCAGTGTTGCCAACTCAGTATCAGGTATTCGGGCCAAAACGAATAAAACAGGGACTCGAATAGTCCAGAAATTAGGCTAACCTGCTATCAACCTAATATGTAGTTAATTTATTTTATATAAAATGCAGAATCCTGGATACAGTGTCTACTTGTACGAAATTCATAATAAAAAATTATAGAAAAAAAAAAAGTAAAAATTCACTAATCGGCTCTAAAACTTGTTTCGTTCGAGTAATTTTTTTAGAAGTTTTCCTTTGCTACGGTGAACCTTAACTTAGAGCTTGGAGCTAACTGAAAATTCTTTATTGTAATACTAAACTCAACTTACGTTTGAAAAATGCAACAGCCGAGTTTCACGCCCGTTCTTCTGTGCCACAATTACTAAAAAAGGCTCATAATAAAGTTGATTTGAATGAAAGTTCTGTGAGTGAAACGAACGTGTGAGGTCGCAGGGAGCGGCGACCGGCCCGTGTGCTGGTGCTGGCGGCTGGCTGCTGGCGGCTGGCGGCTGGCGGCTGGCGGCGGCCGCGACAGTTCACAGCTCGTCCCGCGCCTGCTCGGCCTGCTGCTGCGCGCGCTCCAGCGACGGTTTGATAGTCTCCAACAAGTTTTTCAACGCTTGTTCCGTCTGTAATATTCACATATACATTTAACCCTTCTTTGCACAACTTTGGAAATTTCCATCATAACATTGAATGCTCAAAAATTATATAAAAGAACAAGTTCACTTTAAGTTGACCGTGTCTGGATACATTTTTTAATGTCCATTGCAGAAAAAAAAACATAGCTGTCAATTTTTTTTAATGGTGGTGATGGTGGTGGTGTTGGCGGTGATGGTGGTGATGGTGGTGGTGGTGGCGGTGATGGTGGTGGTGGCGGTGGCGGTGGTGATGGGGGTGGTGGTGGCGGTGATGGTGATGGTGGTGGTAGCGGTGATGGTGGTGGTGGTGGTGAAGTGGTGGTAATGGTGGTGGTGGTGGTGGTAGTGGTGGTGAAGTGGTGGTGGTGGTGGCGATGGTGTTGGTGGTGGTGGTGATGGTGGTGGTGGCGGCGGTTACCTGCGCTAGATGCGTGACGGTGCGGTGCAGCGCGTCCCGCCAGGCGAGCAGCTGTCCGCGCTGCCGCAGCGAGTGCTGCTGCAGCAGCCGCGACCACTCCGCCACCTGCGACCCGCTCAGCGTGCTCATCCTGCACATACACGGAATGCACACGCTCACACACAGCTCAACACCCCCCACTTAGGTACAGTGGGAACAAGGGGAATGTTAGTAGTTGGACAAAAAAAAATTTTTGTTTGACATCAGAAGACAGCGTAAGTAATGACCTGATTCATGTTTCGCCTTGTTTTAACACTCAAAGCTACGCCAAGTCATTCACTGTACATGCTGCACGTCTCCGGTACTCACTTCCTAGTAACTTGAAGATGGCACAATCATTAAAATCGTTTAAAGCGGCTCTTTTAAAATTTTATTCTGACACTCCTGTTTCATTGAGTCGATTGTGAATATATTATATATAAAACATTACTTATATATTATATATATGTATAAGTTTATACTACTATTATTTATGTATGTAGGTTACTCTCAAATATTCAATATTTTCCTTTCAGCTTCTCAAAGGTTGACTGTAAGAGATCCCTCTATGGGATAAGTTTACTATTATATATTATTATTTTATTATTATATATTATTAGTACATTACTGTAGCGGCCAGCAACTGAGGCATTGATGGACCAACATGCAAATGTGGGCCGAAGCGTAGCCAAGGCACACATACGTGAGTCCATCAATGTCTAGTTGTGGCCAAGACTTGTATAGTACTTTTCTCAAACAATGCGCGGAAATCAAAAACACAATTTTACTTTTTAAGTTCAATGACGAATAACGAACAATAATAATTTTTCACGCGCCATAATGTTCCTTTGTATTTTTTTTTCAATAAACAGCTTTCTATTTGCAAGCCAGTTCGAAATTTAAATAAAACATTTTATTAGTTACCTCCTTGGTAGTCATGTTTGAAATTAAAAGGTCACTCCAATTTCAAATTACAGGACAGATATGAGTTTACATAGTAATTTATCTGGCCGTAAAACACGACAGATATGGATTTTCATACAACTTTTGCCGGCCGCTGCCCGCATGTATCTGGTCAGTACGACAATTTTGATTTATCTCTAAGAAGATTGTCAAAATAATGCTCACATTTCCAAGCATGTTTGAGAAAAATCCTTTTAAATGTGAAATACGTAGAATAAAATTTTCACAATACAATAAGACAAGTAGTAATAATTAATTGTTAGTTTTGTAAGTAGCCAGTGTATACATATGTGAGCGCACCTGTCCTGCAGCAGATCAAAGTCGAGGGCGGCCGGCGGCTGCCAGTAGAGCCGCCAGTAGAGCAGCGCGTTGATGGCCAGCAGCACCAGCAGCGTGGCCAGCAGCCAGCCGGCCGTGCCGCGCCACCAGCCGGCCGCCGCCGCGCCGTCGGCCGCCGCCGGGGACGGCGCGGCGCCGAGCGGCGGCGCGGGCAGCGCGCCGGCCGCCGCCGCCGGCACCGACGTCGGGTCCTGGGACGACGCTGCAATATCAGTTCAACAGGTCAAGTCACCGACTTCGGAGTTTAGTGTAACTGTTGTTCCCATGATTCGTATGTGTGATCGAGATGACTTATCTATGAATGAGTGAATTTTTATTTCATTCCATCATTCAGTCATTCGACGTAACTGGTTTTTTTTATACAACTTAGAATGGCAAACAAGCTGACGGCCCACCTGATGGAAAGTGGTAACCGTCGCCTATAGACATGAGCAGTACCGTGGACATAACAGAGTATACTGTTTCGCCCATGATACCCCCATGCAGTAACTAGATAAGACATACATTATGTTTATGTTTTTATGAAAACCGCATCCAAATTGGTGTTGTAGATTTGTATGATATCGGAACAAACATGTTTACAAGCAAACTAAATGTTTAAAAATTATTATTTCGGCTTCTATTGGTTTTATAAATTTTTCTTAATTATTTCAGACATCGTTCAGTTACAATTTTCAACCGACTTTTAAAAAAAGGGAGATTTTTAATTCGGTTGTATTTTACTACGTTAATTACCTCATAATTCTGTCAGTTTTAAATCGATTTGTATTTTTTAAGGGTATACTTACGGATTTAACTTATAGAAAATTTATCAACCTGCCTCCTGCCTGACGTCAACCCTCTTTGGGTTATTATCACCATATGGACCAGATAACTTACTGTTTTAAAATCCTCGATAAGATCATTTTTCACGGAGATATCGGAATTTGAATGAAAAAAGATTATTTTGTCTTTAAAGTAATTTAAAACAAACAGACAGATTTAAAATGCAGGGACATAGCGGTTGAGGCGGTACCGGCCGCACTATTTAGTATCCGTGCGAAGCCGGGGCGGGTAGCTAGTGCTAAATAAACAAACTAGCGTACTGACCGAGCGTGCGGCGCGGCGGGCGGCCCTTGCGTGCGAGCGGCGCGGCGCCGGCCGCCTCGGCCGCCAGGCGCGCCTGCAGCAGCCGGAAGTACTCCTCCAGCCCTGATATCGCGTTCTTCTCGATGAACCCTGCGCATACCCAGCGCACTAAGTGCTACCGCTCGCTCACACGCACTACCCACCATCATCATATCATACACTGTAGAGCATAGACTTCAAAGATCACGGTTTCAGAGATCTACCAACACTCAGGTTACGGAATGAGCACCCTGCCGAGGATTTTCTTTCCTTTCCTTTCGAGATTCTTCACAAAAGGGATAAAGAGGTTTCTTGCAGGCGTTCATAGGCTACGGTAACCGCTTATCATCAGGTAGATCATATGCTTGTTTGCCATCTCAGTGGTATAAAAAAAAGACTACCATAAGAAAAGGTCCTGAACCACCAGCATCCACTAACTAATCCACACTAACTACCTGCAATGCATTTGAGGTCATCACTCCATCTAGTGGGAGGTCGTCCTATACTGCGTTTACCCGTACGGGATAACCACTCGAGAATTTATCTTCCTGATCAGTTGTCGGTTCTTCGAGCTACGTGACCAGCCCATTGCTACTTCAGATTGCTTACTTTTCGGGTTATGTCGGGCACTTTAGTTCTATTGCAGCATTCGTATAGTGTATTCGTATAGACCATATTTCGGTTCCATAAATTGTCATCGAATAAAGATGGTACGCACTGATTAAAGATCTTAGTCTTCAAACTTACAGTTTAAAATTATCTTGTACATAAAAGTAACTGTTAGGTTTCTCGGATTCTTCTCAGCAAATAACAACTTTTCGAATCCAATTATACAAAAAACGACATTTTAAGAGTTTGCAAACAAGTCGATATTATTAAAAAATATCTCTATTATCTAATGAGTCTTCTTACTAGCAATATGCCCAACTTCCGACCTCCACGTGGTCCACCTTAGAAACAATCATGGTTAATTCTTAATGAATACATCATGTTGGCCTAATTGGCCTGTTTTCATTCTCACCTATCATCACTCACTGGTGCTTCGCCAGCGTATACTATTAGCGTAGGCGGGGTTGCCCTTCCATTTTCACCCCTCAAAAAAAAAAACAATTCCGCTCTCTTCATCGACGAAGGGCCAGGGTTGGGTGGCAGCGGCGTACCTTTGATCATGGGCCACATGGTCTTCTTGTAGCGCAGGTGTCCGTAGACGCTGAGGCGGGCGGCGCGGCGGCCGGCCCGTTGCAGGCAATAGTGCACGTTCACGGTGAAGTAGTCCGCGTAGGGGATGCCTGCATTCTCGCTCTCCGCGTCGATCGAGTACAGAACGCCAGGCTTTGAACACTTGTTCATCACCTGTACACCACATCACCACCGATTACATTTGGGCCACGTGGTGAAATGAGAACGACACTACCCTTGGATTTGAACTCAAAATGGTCGATTCTGGGACTCTCTAAATGTAAAATTTTTAATCGATATTTTTGCTAAATTACTGTTGTATATAGCATATTTATATGTTTATAATATAATATATTCAGTTCAAATTGGCCTTGAGATTAAACATTTTTCTCTAATATCAAGTTTTAATTTTAGAAATTGCTTTACCATATATAATCATCACCATCATACCAGCCTTTAACTGTCCACTGCTGAACATAAGCCTCCCCTGGGGGGTTTTGCCATTAGTTGCCACGCTTGGCAGGCGGATTGGCAACTAAAAAACTGGCAGTTAAGTTTTGGTGATGTTTTTAGAGGGACGCTGCTGCCCATGCCTCGACCAATAAGTCCTTTAATAATAATACAATATAATATCGTTATATCAGTGTTGTTATTCGAGAGTGCAACACTCATCTATTGCAATTTATATCAAGTTGAATAAATTGCATTAAGTAGATCCAGACGATTTAGAGAGAAACAGTATTTAAACGCACACAAAATTCATAATAAAAAAAAAAAAAATACAGGAACACACTTTGTACGTACCTGTGTCTCGGTAACTTGCACCTCCTTGGGGCCGATGGGCCCCGTGGTGAGTGCGAGCGTGTACTTGCACTGCCGACACTTGCGGCCCGCCTGCACCTGCCACTGCGCCTGCGCACAATACACGCACACTTAAAATTCATCACCAATTATTACCGCCAAACGTGTCACATCCATTTTTATACCATTGAAGAGCTATAGACTAGCATACGGCCCGTCTGATGGCAAACAGTTACAGTAGTCTATGGACGCCTGTAACACCAAGATTGTCACGTGCACGTTGCTTGACTGCGACACTCTAAATGAATCTTAATACACCTCAGAAATAATTTTTCATTATTTTATGAAATGGCAAACAAGCTGAGGATCTCTCTCATCTCAGGATTAAAGCATCCTTTTTTTAGAACACACGAGGCAAAGGAGCATGCGGCACACTTGATGGTAAGTGACTACCGCCACCCATGATCACCCGTGACACCAGAGAGAAAGCAGGTGTGCCGCCAGCCTTTTAAAAAGAAATATGCTTTTTATTTGAAGGTCACGATGTCGTATCGGTTTGTACCTTGTAACTTCACTACCATAGTTCACCCTTCGAACCGTAATACATCCATGAAATCACAACTTCCTTGACGGAAAATATACGTGTGGGAGTCATTCCGTTGCCTGCCAAATCAAATGCCTTTACCAAAGTTATTATTAACAATAGTAACGAGGGGGGGGGGGGGGGGGATTGTTAGTATTTTTTTATGCAACTTAGAATGGCAAACAAGCTGACGAGGATTTTACTCGTAGTTAATTAAACTAAGTGCTACCTATTTGATACAGACGACGTGACACCCGAAGCGAAGGAAGAAAAGGTGAAGAAGCGAGCTTTTTTTTTATTTAAGTTAGCAATTATACCTAGTTTGCACAACCTGAGGTACGTTTGATTTTTTTCCTTTTTTTTTGTCCTGATAGAGTATATCATAATACATTTCATCAGGACATTGATGCAGCGGAATTATTAATAATCCCTTCCACCCACTATTACCCATTAGTATAGGCCTTTAATTTCATCTTGATTTATTAAAAAAATAACAACAGACCTGAACATAATCCGTGGTGTTCCTGGCGGCGAGCAGCTCGACGGTGAACTTGGAGTTGGTGAAGATCATGGTGAACATCTGGTCTATGTTGAATGGGAACTCCTGCTGCATTATCACCTTGCCCTCGTGGGACGCTGTGCACTTCTCCGATTCACCGCTGCTGTGAACGAATTTGTCCATGACAGCGGTTTAAATAGACGCTCGGGTGTACTCTAATGGAATTAGTAAATGGAATTCATTAACAAACTTTTAATGTGAGAATTCTTTTAATTTTCTTTTTTTTTATACAATGGTAAACAAGCTGACGGCCCACTTGATGGAAAGTGGTAACCGTCGCCTATAGACATGAGCAGTACCATGGACATAACAGAGTATACTGTTTCGCTCATGATACCCCCCATGCGTTGACATTCCTGAGGACTCAGGTGTTATTCCTCTGTACCCTGTAAATTCACGCCATATCCCACCCTTCAAATCGAAATACAGCCATGCAAACACAACTGCTTCACGGTTGAAACACGAATGCGACAGAGGTACCCGAGCAAACGACTTTTGTACAAAGTCTCCCTCTGGTAAACACAACTCAATTGACATTAAACTCAAGTGGCTCGGAATCGTTCTTTAGTGCAGTCTTTGGGAGAGGTTTATGGTCAAAAGTAGACAGTTAACGGCCGATATGATCATCATCATATGGACTTGTGGTCCCGGAATAGAATGAGCCACCCCTTCATTTTCCATGGTTCTCGTAAGAGGCGACCAAGGGAACTTCATAATCGAGAGATTGTCAGCGGCGTCCCTCTTAAAACATCAAAGACTAACTACGGTTGCCAAGTGTGGCAACTACTGGCAAAACTCGCCTTATGAGGAAAGCCTACGGGTGCTATGGTAATTATTATGACGCTGATGATGAGACAGATACCTGTGCGGCTTGTCAGGCTCGCTGTCGCTGGTGTCAGACAGGTCTGTGGGCAGCGCCGGCCGCTCGTCGCGATACCGCGCCGACCCATTTGTTACTGCCAACAATAGCGCCTTATACATACCATATATGTATACATATTAACAGTCTTCTTTCATCATTTCACATTCTGACAGCGGTAGTCTTTATGCAACTTAGAATGGCAAACAAGCTGACTACCCACCTGATGGAAAGTGGTAACCGTCGCCTATAGGCATGAGCAGTACCGTGGACATAACAGAGTATACTGTTTCGCCCATGATACCCCCCACGCGTTGCCATTCCTGAGGACTCGGGTGTTATTCCTGTGTACCCTGTAAATTCACGCCATATCCCACCCTTCAAACTGAAACATTGCGTTGTAACTACAGGTTTTTCATCGTAGAATCGCCAATGGAATAGATATACCAGTACAGCTAACTAGAGAGGGAAGGGATTGTTAGTAATGGAGATTAATGGCCCCATTGCTAGCAAGTCCTGTCAGGTCGACCTCCACGCGGTTCCCCTGGAAACCATCGTGATTAATACTTGTTGCATTCGTTATGATGGGCTAAGTGACCTGCTTTCATCCTCACCTATCATCCCTCACTGGTGCCCCGCCAGCGTATACCGTTAGCGTAGACGAAGCTACCATTCCATTATCATCTATTAAAGTATAGTCAACTTTTGTACAGTCTTTGGCAAAACCAAGACGATGTTTGATTATTGAAGACCGAGTAACAAACATCCAAATATCTTTACAAATTAAATATATAGTTGTAAATTGTTATTATAAATACATTATATTGGATACATGAAAAAAATTTTATATACTCGTTAAGTGTGCGCAATATATATATATATATATATATATATATATATATATATATATATATTGTACTCACAATATCTATACATATATTGGACCAATAACATTAATACTAGATATCGGTTATCCAATATATAATAACGAAAACAACCCGCTTGTAATGAATAAAAATATCCGACTAGTGTAGGTGATATCGCAATAGATGGTCAACAATGTACAGAAGAACTCAATATCAATATATTGATATCTATATATCGGATATTAACCAACTCTAGTACAGAAAAACATCTCTAGTTACGATAAAATATTACAGTATCTTCACCGTGTGTGATACTTTTAAGAATACCAGATAATGCTGGTTCAGCGATTTCGTAGCCTTCCTCAACGTCCTCGGGCCATATCGATTGCTGGTCGACCACAACGAACCCCTCCTCCTCCCTGGTCCTCATCCTCCCGACCGTGTAGTAAGACACGGCGCGGTTGAGTAACGTCAGAGCGTACGTTATCCACATTTATAATTGATTTGCTTGATTTCGTAATAGGTGTTTATACAGCCTGTCACTTTTATATCACTATTACATAAAACATACAAATTGTATACAGGGTGTTATCGAAATGTTATCGAAATATTCAAACCGTAACACAGCCATGCAAACACAACTGCTTCACGGTTGAAACTAGTGAATCAATTTTACGACCAAAGTATAACCTTTCTGAAAAAAAAAAGAATTCTCCATTCAATAACAAACATAAATAAAAAAAAAAAAATACAACCGAATTGAGCATTGAAATGAATCACTCTTTTTAAAGTCGATTATATCGATCAATACACAATTCCGACGTGTGTACACTGCAAGATGAACGTTATTATGTAAATATTACGCACTAAAAATGTATGATATTTGCAAATTACATTTATAATCGGTCTAACAATGCGAGCACTAAGCACCGAGGGGTCCAGGAGAACCGAATGAGCTTACAGTTACAGTACAGTGAACAAACAGAGGACTCTTGTAGTCAATGTTTTAGCACTGTAAATAACTTTCATATCAACTTTAGACATCTGATACTCTTTGTTTAACAATTACTATAAAATAATAATATTTAACACGCGACTTCGTCCGTGGTGAGTGGGTCAAATGTCTTAGCTTTATCACTGATACCCTGCCTTTTAATTATTTAAGGGCAACCAACAATGTATATATTTATATCTACTTAAAAAACATTATAATAAGGTTACATTATAAAATGCTGCCTCAATTAAAGGCCGCTTCGACACGCGTATTCATAATATATATATATAACTGGGGGGAAAGGGATCGTTAGTAATGGAGACTGAGAATCCCATTGCTAGCAATATACCCAACCAGGTCGACCTCCTCGCGGTTCTTCCTGGAAACTATCATGGCTAATTTCCGATGAATTCATCATGATGGGCTAACTGGCCTGTTTTCATTCTCATCTATCACCCTTCACTGGTGCTCCGCCAGCGTATCCCGTTAGCGCAGGCGGCGTTACCATACCATTTTCACCCATCAAAAAAAAAAAAATATATATAACTATTAGAATGAAAAATGGTAAAAACTACAATACTAGTTATACAATAAATAGTTAGACTACAGTAACACTTTGCATCTGAAAGATTTGTACACCTATAATCTATACATACATATGTGCAATGATACATGCCATGCTGTAAAGCTGACCAAATTAAACTAAAGAATTTATACTAAGTGGATTTGAATTTGTTGTTAAACTTGAACCAATAACGGAGCGGGATTACCATTTCACGATTATTAATTAAAAATGCACGGAGAGAAGACGGAAGGATTAAATAAAAACCGATACACTTCAGTCACCGTGGAATGTGGAAGCTGTAACAGTTGGCCTTTGCCCAGCAGTGGGGCATCATATATTATGAATGAATTAAAAAAAGCTCGCCTTACCTAATGGCGGTGAGGAGTCCCTGTTGTGGGATGGGGCACGAGAGCTGCGCTCTTCGACCCCCCCGCCCCCGCTGCCGCCTCCGCTCCCGTCGCCGCCTCCCACGCCGCTGCCGCTCGTGTCCATTAGCGACGAGTCCACCAAGTCTACCTGGATGGAATATTGTTGTCTGTACTAGGTATAACACAGGCATATTGGGGGGCAAGGGGGGGATATTGTCAGTAATACGGACTAGCAGTCCCATTGCTAGTAATATACGCTGTCAGGTCGGCCTTCTCGTGGTTCCCCCTGGAAACCATCGAGATTGATTCATTATTAGATTTGTCACGATGGGCTGACCTGCCTTTCCATTCTCCACTATCATGCCTTAGTGCCCCGCCAGTGTATACCGTTAGCGCAGGCGGGGCTACCATTTAATTATCATCCATTTTAAAAAATAACACATGTACATTGGGAGGGAGGGGGGGGGGGGGGATTATTGTCAATAATATGGACTATCAGTCCCATTCCTAGCAATATACCCTGTCCGGTCGCCTGCACGTGTTCCCCCTGGAAACCATCATAATAATAACACCTGAGTCCTCAGAAGTGGCAACGCATGGGGGGGTATCATGGGCGGAACAGTATACTCTGTTATGTGCATGGTACTGCTCATGTCTATAGGCGACGGTTAGCACTTTCCATCAGGTGGGCCGTCAGCTTGTTTGCCATTCTAAGTAGTATATAAAAAAAATAAAGTAACAAACAAATTCTGACAATTATTATTATAAATTCTCATTAACTGTCAATTAATTCTCAGTTATTCAAAACTTGTTTCTCAGTGACAGACAATTCAATAAATATTTATTTAACTAAGAATAAAATACCTACCTACATACAATGAAATTGTATCTAGACGACGTCTGTTCATCTATAGTAATATAACTAGCAGTATCCCGCGGCTTCACTCACTTCACGGCGTGAATCAGCATATATGGTAAGTATCCTCTACGCTTTTTATAACATTTTATATGTGATTCTTTAGACTGATATAACTTTTTTTGTTGTGAACCGATTGAAATAAAACAAACACCGAAGATTAAGTGGCGCAAATCGTAATGCATTAGTGAAAACCGCATTTAAATCTGTTAAGCCGTTTCTGAAATAACGCGGAAGAGTTTAAAGGTGCTAATCTCTGGAGTTACCAGACAAATTAGAAAAATTGTTTTTGCGGGAGACGCCGTGGGAGACAGCAAATTAGAAGATATTCAAGAAATTTATTTAATGTCACAGATAGATACTCTTTATTGTTTACTCCAAAAGATTACAATAGCAAAAATTTATTATAGATACAAACAATTACAAGAAATGATCACAGTGAGAAAACAATGGGCGGCCTTATCGCTAAAAGCGATCTCTTCCAAGTAACCCTTGGCTGAAGAGGAGTAATTATAACGCTTTCAGACCCAAGATTTTTTTTCTTTCAGATTAAATATATTTTTGTGTTTTGGAGCCAAGCCATCTTGCCGGCACGCACGAGACTACTGCACCAGCTAACCGCTAAAATGATTTCTTATTCGCTGGTTTAGAATCTCACTAGCGGTTTTAGTTTAGTTACAACTCACGCCCGTATCGTTCAGGTCTGAGAGGGTTATATAGTTTATGGAGATGTAATATTGTAAATATAATGTTGTAATTGATATCTAATTCATATTAATGTTTCTACAGCGTTTTGTCTGTATGATTGTTTCATAGCAGTTTTGTTCATAAAATTTTAAACTAATTTATTGTTCTTGAAGGGCTTTCACTGGACACTGCAAACTAAATAAACAGATAGCCCAACTAGGCTTATAAAAAAATATATAGGCTGTAAAGTGTGGGTGTAGCCCACGCATACATAAACGATATATCTCCATCGGAAAACACACTCTACATGAAAAATATCGCTACAAAGAACATCTTAAAATTCCTATCACGGATAGGAATTAACAGTAAACTTTGAAAAAAGAAAAAAAGGGGCCAGCACAAAAGAACAATTTTATTTTATTTTTATTTTATTTATTATTATTTAACAAAAACACGAAGTTACAAATACAAAATACAATGGGCCCCACACTAGGCGAACCTGTATCGTGGGCACCCGACAAAGATTAACAAATCACAATGTTATAATAAAAAGTACACAGTGGGCAGGTATTAATTAAAAAAGAAATAAAAAATTTAAATATTGAAAAAAGTAAAAAAAAAAAATCAACAATATAAATACACAAGCAATTATAAGATACTGATAATATATGCCCTTAAGAGAAACGAAGTTGAATAAATGAAAGTGGAAATGTTCAGGAGTATATGTGAATGTGTTGTGTAATCCAAAGAGAATGAAAAAATCGCAGTGTCACAGGTTTTTCTACGTGAAAAAGTCCATCTTTTAATAATAAATAATAGTGTCTCTAAAATGAAAAAACTGGTATATGATTTACTTTGATACAACGTCTAGATTACTCTATTTTGTTGGTTTACCAACTTCCAAAATCCACGAGTGTGAAACCGCGGGCAAAAGCTAAATTTAAACATATCTATTTATATTAATTTCAATGGTTATTGTTTCCTATGATATAACATGACATTTTTATTTGCATATACCATACATAGTGAATAAATACAATAGATAATAGAAGAGGCAAAATGCTGGACCACTTTATACGACATGACGATTTTTTAAGAGCATAGTAGAAGGAAAAATAGAAGGCAAAAATTACAATAGGGAATAACTACAATACATGGGACAGATAAAAGAAACTCTAGGTATCATGTCGCATAGGGAGGTCAAGGATATGGCCTGGGATAGGACTGGCTGGAGGAAGATGCATGAATTAGTTGCACCGACAAGAGGAAACTCTTAAATGAAAAGAAAGAGATACATAGTGACTCTTTGTTTAATATTTGGAACTTGAATCTATGAATTACGCTAAGACTATCCCTAATATCTACTAATAATTATAAGTGCGAAACAGCTGAATTGGTTTGAATGTTTGTTACAAAAATGGACTATCCCGGAGTAAGGATACGCACTAGTATGGTGGGTAATATTAAGCAATATCTATGTATTTAATTATAATATCTAACATATATACCTATCCAATAACAAATATGCTATTTAATTTAATTTTCTCAAAACATGCTTGGAAATGTGAGCATTATTTTGACAATCTTCTTAGAGATAAATCAAAATTGCCGTACTGGCCAGATACATGCGGGCAGCGGCCGGCAAAAGTTGTATGAAAATCCATATCTGTCGTGTTTTACGGCCAGATAAATTACTATGTAAACTCATATCTGTCCTGTAATTTAAAAATGGAATGACCTTTTACATCGAAACATGGCTACCAAGGAGGTAACTAATAAAAGGTTTTATTTAAATATCGAACTGGCTTGCAAATAGAAAGCTGTTTATTGAAAAAAAAAACAAAGGAACGCGTGAAAAAATATTATTGTTCGTTATTCGTCATTGAACTTAAAAAGTAAAATTGTATTTTTGATTTCCGCGCATTGTTTGAAAAAAGTACTATACAAGCCTTGGCCACAACTAGACATTGATGGACTCACGTATTTACGTACTCACGTTTTTTGTTTGTTCTGTTCATGTTATTTATGCTACTGTGTGGGTAGCATGCGTCTTCGATTCGAAAGAAAGAAATAGTTTTTCTTTCTTTCTTTCTTTAAAAGTCTGTTAACCAAATAATAATATTGGATAACACTTTTAACATATTCGACAATACAGGTAGATATTCGACAAATATGGGCGATATCGAAATGGGCGATGACCTTTTTTCCGTCATCAATGTTCAGAGAAAGCCAATATATAAATATCAGATCGGTATCTATAAATCTGATCGACAGGTTTTAACCTATTTTAGACACCAGCTCCTCACAGCAGAGTTTCGTATTATTTTAATTTTATTTTGTCCTAAATACCTCATGTGTTAATTTGGGTTGTCTGTAAGAAGACACAAATAAATATATTATAAATAAATATTAAAATATATATTTTTAAAAATATTTAAATAAAACTGATTAGAATTATTTTGTTCGAATCCGCCGTTTGTATGCGTGCTACTACCAACTTTGAGGATGGGGGAAAGGGATTGTTAGTAATGGTAAGAATTCCCACCAGGTCGACCTCCTCACGGCCCCCCTGGAAACTATCATGGTTAATTCCTGTTGAATTCATCATGATAGGCTAACTGGCCTGTTTTCATTCTCATCTATCACCCTTCACTGGTGCTCCGCCAGCGTATCCCGTTAGCGCAGGTGGGGTTACCATTCCATTTTTATCCACCAAAAAAAAAAAAAAAACGAGACACTTCTTATCTATAATATTACTGTATTTACTGCTGTTTTTTTTTTCAGGAAATAAATATTTTCTACTCTATTAACACCAATTAAAAAAAATCACGCACAATATATGTATTTAAACTTTGGTACAATATTTTTTTAAATAGTATAAAACAAGTCGCTGTTCGCTTCTATTTCTTTGCTTACTTCTAAGGTACTTAACGGTTTCTGATACGGGTTTCACTCTTAAGATAATTCACAGGTTTGATATGAACATTACATGCCAAAGAAACATATCGTATAAGTAAATATAAAAAAAAATATTTTATAACAATAATTGCAGTCGAACGTAACACTAAGAGTTTAAACTTAAGAGACTAACTTTCTTCCTGGACGGTCGTAGCCTGACCATTTTGCGTCCGTGCCGAGACAGACGGTACGCACCATCACCACCGTCAAGCCGTACTGTTATCGAACAGGTGTCTCTATCGCAGCGTATCTACGGTATCGCTGATACGCGACACGGCGTACACTTCGCAAATCGCATTCGACGTATTGATAACGGCGTCGTATTTCACGTTATCACTATAAGTTATTAAATATATATATATATATATATATATATATATATATATATATATATATATATATATATATATATATATATATATATATATATATATATATATATATATAATCCATAGTATCCAAGTGTATCGTATACTTGGCCGTTACTTCATTCCCGTGGATTTCAGACCATATCATTGCCTATGACTCTGTACCCTGTAAATTCACGCCATATCCCACCCTTCCAACTGAAACACAGCCATGCAAACACAACTGCTTTACGGTTGAAACACGAATGGGACAGAGGTACCCAAGCAAACGACCGTACAAAGTCTCCCTCTGGTTTATCAGTTTTTAAGTTAGACCTACAGGAATCATCACCATCTCAGCCATTATCTGTCCATTGAACGTAAACTGCCATAAAGAATGGTCGAGAGCTACCTTTTTTTTTAACGTCTGGAAAATGCTTTATGCAGATCCATACACCTTGTGGGAGGTGAATGGGTACTGTGGGAATCCCCCCGTAAGGTGGGGGTGTACCCACCAAAAACCAGACGATATACCCTCGAGGTGCCATATGTCGGAGACATGGGTTCGCTTTCGCACTCACCACATCTCCGACGGCAAAGGTCGAGAGCTACCCGCATTCACTGTATTCTTGTAATGTATTTGAGGTCGTTTTTATGTAGTGTGGGCTCGTCCTATAACTGTTTAAAAAGTATCCATTTCCATTTCCCCCCTTTCTTTTCGATTTATAATTTTTTTTTGTGCTGTAAGTTTATTGCCAATAAATGTTTCTCTTTATTTAGTAAATTTCTTTAGTAATAAAAGAAATAAAGAAAATTTGAGTAAATTAAAGAATAGAGTAAATACATGAAGGCAATCCGAACGCACGGCTCGGTTCGCGACCACTTTATTTTATTTATTTATTCATTAGTACATATATGTGTACATGGTGGACTTGATGCTAAAAGCATTCTCTCCCAGTCAACCATAGGGAAGTGTCAGAATACTCGAATGCGGTACTACTAATTATTGATATACATACATACTAAAATTACATATATAAACAAATAAATATTTTTTTAGGTATATGAAAATGGTATGGTAACCCCGCCTGCGCTAACGGGATACGCTGGCGGAGCACCAGTGAAGGGCGATCGATGAGAATGAAAACAGGCCATCCAGTTAGCCGCCCATCGTGATGAATTCATCAGGAATTAACCATGATAGTTTCCAGGGGGAACCGCGAGGAGGTCGACCTGGTTGGGTATATTGCTAGCAATGGGATTCTCAGTCTCCATTACTAACAATCCCTTTCCCCCAATAAATATATTTAAATATACTTACACATATATAAAATATATTATAATATAAACGAAATTGAGAATATAAAGTACTTACTTTAGCTTAAGATATGTTTTTATCAAATATCCACCCACAGATATGTACAGACGGTTAGACAACAGTGTCGTGTTTATGTATTGATAACATTGTATTTTGTTTGTGCTTTAGGAATGCAAAAATATAATGTGGCCAGAGATAACACTGTTTTTTTTTTAATGGGTGATAATGGTATGGTAACCCCGTCTGCGCTATTGGTATACACTGGCCGGATACCACTGAGAGGTGACTGAAGAGGATGAAAGCAGGTCAGTTAGCCCATCCTGACGAATTCATCTAGAATTAGCCGCGATGGTTTTCAGGGGGAACCGCGAGGAGGTCGACCTGGATATACCCAAGTATATTGCTAGCAGTGGGATTCTCAGTCTCTATTACTAACAATCCCTTTCCCCCCTATATAATATTGTTAATAGGCGTTGTTTACGTATTTATTATTCGACGGATTACCACGGTGAGTCATACGCTTAGAGTACCTATGTCATTCATTATAAATAATTAGCTATCGGTATACTTACGGTCGAAAGATATGATTTGTTTATTGCTACATACAATCCACGCAGACGGATGTCGCTACTACAAGTAAACAAGTATTTATAATATTTATTTATTATTTATTGCACAATAAAACTTTGTACAAATGGCGAGCTTAATGCCATATGGGGTTCTCTACCAGCTAACCAGTATCGCTTACATTTCCATCAATTGGTAAAAGTATAAACAATATCAAAAATATAATTATATATATAAACAAAATTATATTATAAATATAATAGTATAATTTCTTTTCCAAAATACCTACAATCCTCGAGTAAAAAACGTTTCACGTTTAAAAACATGATCCAACGATAGGATATATGTTTTGAAATTAATTTTCATATTTCTTTATGTAGCATAAAAATATTAGGGTTGTATGTTAGCCTGGATAATGTAGTATATTTATTTATTTATAATATATATATTTTATATATATATTTTGGATCTAAATATATATTTAAAAACTAGACTTTTTAAAATGTCTCTACGATGATTTTTCTTCAAGTTACAGCCTATTGAAAAACACCTACAAATTTGATTTTTTTTATCCCTTAATTTTTTCCATTAGTGTATTATGGTACTGACTAGCATAAAGCTTTGAAAACATCACGGCATCTCTATCTGAGCGTACTTGTACCTCAATATCATTTGCAGTTTTTCGATGGGTATCCAATTAACAAAGATTATTATCAAGCAAACAATATGAATGGATACATAACTATAGATTAATCACATCTGAGAACAAACATCAAATGTACATAAATTCTCTACACAGTCTCATTAATACATGAATACTCACAAAATCATAAATTCGCCGTGTGGTCCCGACATTGATTTGTCCACCCCCTTCCTTTCCCGTGGGTGCCGTAAGAGGCGACTAAGACAACGATCGAAGGATTAATAGCAGCAGCGTCCTTTTTAAACATCACCAAAGCCTAACTGCAGTTGCCAAGCCGTCTGCCAAGCGTGACAACTACCGGTAAAACCGTCCCAATAGTAGAAGCCCTATGTTCAGCCGTGGACTGTTAACTCATAATACAACCCACAAAATCACTGTTTTTTTTTTTACACTTAAACCTTAATAATTCATTATGCATATGTCTCCGATGTACATGACTATGTGACACTGACGACTGTGTATATATTTCACGTCACAGATAACGCGTGATTTCTATACGTGTGTGTGTGTGCACAGCTGTTGTGTAACTGTGTGTGCGACATGTTAACAGTAATCAGATTGTTAAAGATTTAAAATAAAATTAATGTAGAAACGTTTTGTTTGCTGGAGACACGGTTTGCACAAACATATTGTGTCTGCGATCGTAGGCGATAATTATATTTATATTATTTTATTATATATCACGAATTACATACATACATACATATCTGTCACGCCTGTCTCCCATTAGGGTAGGCAGAAACAATGGAACGCATTCAAACAAACCTCTTTCGCTTCCTCCACATTCATCAATCTTTTCATACACGCTCGCCGGTTACGGGTACTTTTAATTTGGCCCTTCTTCAGCACGTCGCCTATTTGGTCGACATACGTCCGTCTAGGCCGGCCCTATCGACATCTCCATTCATTCTTGCTCGATAAATCTGTCGTAATTTTTCTTTCATCCATCCTCTCCAAACGACCAAACCAACGCAACATTCCTTTTTCGATTTTTGTCACTACATCGTCTTTCAGTCCACACTTCTCTCTAATCACACTGTTTCTTACTCTATCTTTTAATGTTATACCACACATACGATACGAATTATCATTTGATAATTTATTATTATTATATTTGAATGGAAAAGGCTTAACCGGTTATTTAGACCATTGTCGGGGACCAATATAATTTTTAGAAATTTATTTATATTATACTTATATATATAGTGCAACTTGCAATGACAAATAAGCAGACGGTCCACCTAATTGAAAAATAGTATGTACATCACAGGTTATACTGTGACACCTATGATATTTTCACATTATAACTAGATTAAGTTAAAAACTATCAGAGGGAGACTTTGTACAAAAGTCGATTGCTTGGGTACCTCTGTCCCATTCGTGTTTCAACCGTGAAGCAGTTGTGTTTGCATGGCTGTGTTTCGGTTTGAATGGTGAGATATGGCGTGAATTTACAGGGTACAGAGGAATAACACCTGAGTCCTCAGGAATGGCAACGCATGGGGGGTATCATAGGCGAAACAGTATACTCTGTTATGTCCATGGTACTGCTCATATCTATAGGCGACGGTTACCACTTTCCATCAGGAGGGTCGTCAGCTTGTTTGCCATTCTAAGATGTATAAAAAAAAATAGTAATATTTTAATTTCGCCATAACTTCAAAACAAAACGTCCAATTTTAATCATTAAAGACCAAATATTATCTACATAAACTGTACTTAGTAATGCAATAATTTATTTTGATAAGGATTAATAGCATGAGTAAAATAAATGCGTTTAAATGTAGTCAAAAAATTCAAGATTTTTAAATAAAAAAATGGTTGTTGTGCCTCACTCGACATAGATAGGTATAGTGTGTCGCGGACTTTTTTGTAGATATTTATAAGATCTACAATTAATTAGAACATTTTATGGTTCTATCTTTTATAGTTTAGGCAGCGTACGCAAAATAAGTAACTTTTCTGGTTGTTTTTTTACACCTTGTGTACGAAAAACCTAAATATTTTACGGAACCCTATTTTTTTCCAAAATAAAATTTAGCCTTTGTTACTCGTGAATAATGTAGCTTTCTAATGGTGAAAGAATTTTTAAAAACGGTCCAGTAGTTTTTGAGTCTATTCATTACAATCAAACAAACAAAGTTTTCCTCTTTATAATATTAGTATAGATAAGGACAAATTACTGTTGCCACTATGTCGACTGAAGAAAGTTGGTAATTCCTAAGAAATTTTGTAAGATTGTATAATAAACTACCTGAATCTATCTTGGACCTACTCGAAGGACGTTTTAAAGCTGTTAAAGCTGTCCTATAGTCTATATCTATTCTATTAAAACAGATCATAAAGCCGACATAAATAAGTTATAAAAGTAAAACAGTTTTTTTTTTTTTAATCTCGAATGCTTGGACAAAGTGTCACTGACCTCGGAGACGGCGTCTGGTAACGCCGGCGTGTCCTCTAAGAAGTCTCGTGCGTAGCCTTCGTCGTCGGAATTGAACCCCAGCTCCTCGCCGTAGCAGCTGTGTACCTGACACGATAAAATAATAACATTATGACATTGATCATTAAATAAAACATTACATACATACATACATACATGGCCGTTTGGTCTGGGCATAGAATAGACCACGCCTCCCCGTGGGTCGTAAGAGGCGACTAAGAAAGGGCGAGGGATGGGCAGCAGCATCCCCCTTAGAACATCTCCAAAGCCTGACTGCGGTTGTCAAACCGTCTGCCAAGTATGGCAACTACTGGCAAAACCCAAAGAGAAGGCTCATGTTCAGCAGTGGACATTTAAAGGCTGATACGACGCTGATGAATTTGGCTTACACGTACTATAAGATAGAAGAAAAGAGCCAACTGTTTTTTTTTATACAACTTAGAATGGCAAACAAGCTGACGGCCCACCTGATGGAAAGTGGTAACATTCGCCTATAGACATGAGCAGTACCATGGACATAACAGAGTATACTGTTTCGCCCATGATACCCCCCATGCGTTGCCATTCCTGAGGACTCAGTTGTTATTCCTCTGTACCCTGTAAATTCACGACATATCCCACTCTTCAAACCGAAACACAGCCATGCAAACACAGCTGCTTCACGGTTGAAACACGAATGGGACAGAGGTACCCAAGCAAACGACTTTCGTACAAAGTCTCCCTCTGGTAGTCTGTTCATTCCGGTCAAACAATGTATGCCAGCCACCTGAACGAAGTCATGAACAAAAACCTAAACTTTTCATATCACTTACCACCGAAACAACTGAAAATATTCTCCATGTTTCCAGCTTCCGGTTTTTTTTTATATAACCAGTAAAATGATATGTTTAATTATGGAAAACGCAATTTTTTTTTTTTATCACAACACAAATAAAAAAAAAAAGAACACGAAACGAGAGTGTTCGCAAACTGTTGCTTTTCAAACTAATTCTTTAGTAATGCAATCATTTGTTTTCCACGTAGAAGGTAACCTTGATTGTGCTAATGATGGTTAGCGTCGACCGTGTGTGTTTGAATTGTTAGGAATCATTAATACAGAATTACAAACGGGTGCCAAAAAAATATACATATGGAGAAAATTATTTGTTGTTTGTTTTTATTTGATGGAAAATGGTAACCGTCGTCTATAGACATGAACAGTACCATGGACATAACACTAGTACTGTGTCACCTATGTTACGCTTTATAAGTTGCCATTTTTGAGAATTTGTGTAAAAGCACTTGAATAACGTAGGATAACTCAACCTGAGGATAGACAATTGATACATTATGGTTTTCTTTGCAACTTAGAATGGCAAACAAGCTGACGGCCCACCTGATGGAAAGTGGTAACTTTGTGTTTCAACCGTGAAGTTTGTAGGGTGGGATATGGCATGAATTTACAGGTTACAGAGGAATAACACCTGAGTCGTCAGAAATGGCAAGGCATGGGGTATCATGGGCGAAACGGTATACTCTGTTATGTCCATGGTACTGCTCATGTCTACAGGCGACGGTTACCACTTTCCATCAGGTGGGCCGTCAGCCTGTTTGCCATTCAAGTTGTATAAAAAATATATTTGTAGGCACCACACAAAACGGTCCATGGTTGTGTTCCTGAAGGTTTAACTTAAAAATTGTTATTTCAATTTGATACATCTGTTAGAAGTCTATTTTTTTTCTACTTCTGAAATTCACGTAAACAAAGTTGCGAGCAAAAAGCTATTATAAAATATAACTTACAGAGATCGGGGACAGGTGATGAGAGACACGAGCGTGCGTGTGCACTGATGGGGTATCACTACTTTAAATATGACCTTGATCCCGCTGGATGTTCCCGCCTGACCACAGACGTGGAGCTACGAAACTTATACTGTGGACATATTTCGCCAGCGTTTGGCTAAATTTGGAGACTTAAGTCGTACTATCAAAATGTGGAACGATCTCCGAGGGGTCACTAATTTTTTTATACAACTTGAATGGCAAACAAGCTGACGGCCCACCTGATGGAAAGTGATAACCGTCGCCTATAGACATGAGCAGTACCATGGACATAACGGAGTATACAGTTTCGTCCATGATACCGCCCATGTGTTGCTTTTCCTGAGGTTTCAGCTGTTATTCCTCTGTACCCTGTAAATTCACTGCCATATCCCACCTTTCAAACCGAAACATAGCCATGCGAAAGAAGGGGAAACAATTAAGTTATAATTTATATTAGCCATTTATTTCCGACCGCTATTCGGTCTACGCACGTTTTGCGAGACGTGTTTCATCTCTAAACGAGACCCATTCAGGCATATTAATAGATCGTTGCTCGGAGCCTTGTTCGGTGCTCAAACTGCAACGTGTTTGGGCGCCAAAGTGCAATTAAAATAATTCAAATAATTTAACTAGCTATATGGACTTTTACCATGTGGTCCCGGCATAGAATAGAATAGAATCCTTTTCTTTCCCGTAGGTGTCATAAGAGGCGATTAAGGGAGACCATGAGTTGGGCAGCAGCGTTCCTCTAAAACATCTCCAAAGCCTAGCTACGGTTGCCAACCTGCTTGCCAAGCGTGGCAACTACTGGCAAAACTCCTCTTATGGGGAAGGCTTATGTTCAGCAGTAGACAGTTAAAGATGATGACGTTTCATTTCAATACGCCATTTAGAAGTCATGTCATCGGTTATAGTACTTCTGAAATCCACGGGTATGAAATAACGAAAGAAAATTTAGTTATATATAAATGCAAATGTTTGTAGGTATGTTTATAACGATAATATTGTATTTAAATATTTATCGCACAATTAAATCTTAAAGATTGAACGAATTTGGATATCAATATATCGTATCCTGTATTAATACGATTTAACTTAATAATAATAAAATAGTACATTACTGCAGCGGCCAGCAACTGAGGGATTCATGGACGAACGTGCAAATGTGGGCCGAGGCGTAGCCGAGGCACACATACGTGAGTCCATCAATGCCTAGTTGTGGCCAAGGCTTGTATAGTAATTTTCTTAAACAATGCGCGGAAATCAAAAACACAATTTTACTTTTTAAGTTCAATGACGAATAACAAACAATAATAATTCTTCACGCGTCATAATGTTCTTTTGTTTTTTTTTCAATAAACAGCTTTCTATGTGCAAGCCAGTTCGAAATTTAAATAAAACCTTTTATTAGTTACCTCCTTGATAGCCATGTTTCGAAGTAAAAGGTCATTCCATTTTTAAATTACAGGACAGATATGAGTTTACATAGTAATTTATCTGGCCGCAAAACACGACAGATATGGATTTTCATACAACTTTTGCCGGCCGCTGCCCGCATGTATCTGTCCAGTACAGCAATTTTAATTTATCTCTAAGAAGATTGTCAAAATAATGCTCACATTTCCAAGCATGTTTGAGAAAATAGTAAACTCTTTATTGTAAACAAAAGAGATGTATACAAGGAGTATTATACAGAATGTGCACAGTGGCGGCAGCAGCAGCGGCCACAGCAGACCCGGGCCTAGGGTGGCCAGATATAATATTAGGGGCGGTCAATCGTGACAAAAAATTTACTGACGGTAACAAGAAATAACTCAAAGTACGTAAATATTCTAAAGGCTCGCCGCACATAATGTGCAATTATCCCTGAAACCTCGGAAAATATTACAAACTAGTAGATAATTACTATAGTTAACTAAATTTCTGAATCTATTTCGGTAAAAGTTGGCAAAAAAGTAAATTAATTATGTACTCAATATGAAGGGTGCTGAGAAAGGGGTGGCCTGGTACTTTCTACATGGCCTGGGGCCTAAGGCGGCCAAGGCTGCAAATCCGCCACTAACTGTGCATATACAAAAGGCGGCCTTATCGCTAAAAGCAATCTCTTACAGACACGTCAGACACAGTAAATACAAAAAAGGAATCTAATACACAGAGATAAAGCAGTTAGATATTATTATATTATAGAATATCGAATTGAGTAAAGTTCAACAGACCTTAGGGTTACCTTGGACACTCGAAAACAAACAAACACTGTTCACCACTTTGTAATATTTACATATACAGACGCACTTGTCATTACAATGTTGCAATAGTAATTTGCAGCTGATAAGAATTTCCTCCCGCTGACAAAACCGGCCGTTCATTGTTAAATTTAGTAGTTAAAACAATTATTTATAAACTGCAAGCTGGAGGTTTTAAACTAGGTATTTATTATATATATTTTTAAATGGTTTCTGTGATCGTGAACAAATAAAAAAAAATACAAAATACAAATAACTTTGAAAAGTAGTATAAAGGATGGTACATAATATTTAAATATTGTTCACATTCTTCATCAGGATCTGGCGTATAAAGCAATATATAGAGAAAGAGAGAGGGGGAAGAGAGAGAAAGAGAGGGGAGAGAAAGAGAGAGGGGAGAGAAAGAGATGAGAGAGAAAGAGAGAGAAGATCAAAAGAGAGGGGAGGGAGAGAGAGAGAGGATGAAAGAGAGAAAGAGAGAGGGAGAGAGAGGGAGAGAGAGAGGGAGAGAGGGAGAGAAAGAGAGAGGGGAGACACCTATAACCGTTACCGAGCACACCTATAAACTTTATTTTACCTTATCCACGTCAATTGTGGCTCCACCGCGTCACAATTCCACATTAGAATAGCTTTAAATTTCTAATAGAGCTTTGGTTCGAAAACAACACGTGTTGGCTTGTTTCAAAGGGGCCCCAGGCCGACCAGTTGCAATTGTCATTTTTATGCGATTGACAACTGCTATTGATCGATCAATATCAATCGAGGTGATTGACAATCACACTTAAGTAAAATAAACAGGAAAGAAAGTATTTGATGACAATGTAATAAAACATAGTATTGTATACAAAATGGCATTATTATTATTATTTCAGCCGTTAACTGTCCACTGCCGAATTATGTTCCCCCATAAGGGGGGGTTCCAGTAGTTGTCACGCTTGGCAGGTGGGTTGACAACCGCAGTTAGGCCTTTACAGATGTTTCAAGAGGAACGCTGCTGCCCATCTCTCCACCATAAGCCCCCTTAGTCGCCTCTAACAACAGCCTCGGGAAAGGAAGGGGTGGCCCACTCTATGCCGGAACCTACCCGGCATATAGGGACACAATTCGTTTTACTGCCTATGAAGAGGCAAAATGCTGGGTCATCTTATACGACATGACGATTTTTTAAAAAGCATAGTAGAAGGAAAAATAGATGGCAAAAGAAGGAATAAAGGAGATACTAGGTGTCATGTCGTATAGGGAGGTCAAGGATATGGTCTGGGATAGAGCTGGCTGGAGGAAGATGCATGAAATAATTGCACCGACAAGAGGAAACTCTTAAATGAAAGGAAGAAGTTTTACTGCCAATTGTCAAAAGAATGGGCCATCCCTTATTTTTCCCGTAGGTGTCGTAAGAAGAGACTAAGGAAATTTAATGTTCTAAGAATGGATATGTCGAGGATAGACAGGTCGACGTATATTGTGAATGCTTTTATGAGAACTGATGTTTCCATTCATGTTCAACATACTAGAGGGAGACATTGTATAAAAGTCGTTTGCTTGGGCACCTCTGTTCCATTCGTGTTTCTACCGTGAAACAGTTGTGTTAGCATGGCTGTATTTCAGTTTGAAGGGTGGGATATGGCAGTGAATTTACATGGTACAGAGGAATAATACCTGAGCCCTCAGGAATGGCAACGTATGGGTGGGTATCATGGGCGAAACTATACTTTCTGTGTTGTCCATAGTACTGCTCATGTTTATAGGCGACGGTTACCACTTTCCATCAGGTGGGCCGTCAGCTTGTTTGTCATTCTAAGTTGTATAAATAGAAATAAAAAAAAAATACTTTCCCTTACTGATTAATTAATCACGTCAATCGTAATTGTTAGCGGTGTAACTCATTGACAATTGCGATCGATCGTCTCGGAGCCACTTTACAAATATTTTTAATTAGTATCGAGAAATAATTCTTGTAAGAAGTAATTTACAGTGGTACCCTGCACTTTGGTTGTTTTGTTAAGAGAGAGGGACTGGCTGAAAACCAGCGCTGTGCAGCTGTTCACATTGCGCTGGGACACACAGCATCAGCTGAGCCGGTTCCTTTTGCCGAGTATAGGACACTTTTTGTATATGTTATTTATATTTTATATTGTAATTGTATGGCAATAAATGTTTCTATTCTATTCTATTCTAAAAAAACTAGTTGAAAAAATAAAATCTAACAAGTGTTAAAACTATGCGCATTTTCTTTGTTATGCATTATAAGGCTATACTAGCGTGCTCACGTGTTTTTTGTATAAGCGATGGAAAGCAGTCTCACCCGTACAATGAGATGCGGCCCCATTTTTAAAGTTATAGGTTGCCTTTTTACGCCAACGACGAATATTTTTAACCGACTTCAAAAAGAAGGAGGTACTCGATTCTGTTGCACTTTTTATTTACGTTTGTTACCTCAACTCCATCAGTTATACATATAAACCAATTTGGAAAATTTCTTTTTTTTTTATCCGTAAGGATATACTCGTCCTTAAAGATTGGTCTCGTAGAAATTTTATCAAAATCGGTTCAGCAATTTAGATTATTAAATCAAAATAATTGATTTTTCCACAATTAAAGTTAGTTTTGTTAGTTGTGGGATACAATTTAAAATTATTAGAATTTATCAACGTCACGTTAGATGGGAAAGAAAGACTAGAGCCTGGACCAGAGAGGGAAAGATTTTTTTATATAACTAGCTAACCCGGCAAATATATATATGGGGGAAAGGGATTGTTAGTAATGGAGACTGAGAATCCCATTGCTAGTAATATACCCAACCAGGTCGACCTCCTCGCGGTTCCCCCTGGAAACTATCATGGTTAATTCCTGATGAATTCATCATGATGGGCTAACTGGCCTGTTTTCATTCTCATCTATCACCCTTCACTGGTGCTCCGCCAGCGTATCCCGTTAGCGCAGGCGGGGATACCATACCATTTTCACCCATCAAAAAAAAAAACCCGGCAAATATTTTGTGTTATCGGAATTAAAACTATTTCATTTTTCATATAGGAACAAACAATGCACATTTATAAACCTTAATTCTTTTTTTGCAAATTAGAATGGCAAACAAGCTGACGGCCCACTTGTTAGAAAGTAGACCATCGCCTATACACTTGAACAGTACTACGGACAGAATAGAGTATACAGTGTCGCCCATGATACCCTTCATGCGTTGCCATTACTGAAGACTATAGCGTTTTTTTTAATGGGTGATAATGGAATGGTAACCCCACCCGCACTATCGGTATACACCGGCGGGGCACCAGTGAAGGATGATAGGTGAGGATGAAGCAGGTCAGTTAGCCCATCGTGACGAATTCAACCAGAATTGTTCACGATGGTTTCCAGGGGGAACCACGTGGAGGTCGACCTAATAGGGTATATTGCTAACAATAGGGGTGTCAATCTCCATTCCTAACAATCCCTTTCCCCCCAGGCTATAGCGTTATATCTCTGTATCTTATAGTTTCAATGGCATATCCCACCCTTCAAACCGAAACCTAGCCATGCAAGCATACCTGCTTCGGACAGAGGTAGCCAAGCAAATAATTATACATATATCGTGGCATAATATAATTATTAATAATATGGATTGGTAATTAGGTCTTCTCTAATTGTATAATTGTTACTTAGTGTACATTGACGCTTATCTGTGCTGAGCTGTATACACCTTTAATTGATGTGTTCATATGGCCTTAAGCTTGGTAGGGAGGAGTGAGATGTTTTTGTTCAAGTAAACTTAGATTTAAGCATTTTTGAATAGTAGTTTTTCTCTTTTACTTATAACATTGTGCATTGTCTGCTTAATTGTTGTGAGCATATTGTTGGTGTGTCTTTTATAAATAAATAAATAATTATTATCACGAGTTATGAAGTGCAAAGCTACATAAAAAAAAAGAAAAAAAAAAAGAAAATATAGATAAAATAGTTGCCTAGAAAACGAGGTATAAAAAGACCTAACATTCGGCCATAATTCCTGATGAATTCATCACGATGGGCTAACTGGCTTGTTTTCATTCTCATCTACCACCCTTCACTGGTGCTCCGCCAGCGTATCCCGTTAGCGCAGGCGGGGTTACCATACCATTTTCACCCATAAAAAAAAAATTCGGTCATTCCTTACGTGGCTGGCATAGTCACCCAGAGTTACTGAGGCCTCATCAATATATTGAATATTAAGATAAAGTGACTTGACAATAGTGACCAATTACCAGTTGTTGCCACGCTTGGTAGGCGGATTGGCAACCGCAGTTAGACTTTGGAGATATTTTAAGAGGGACGCTGCTGCCCAACACTCGTCCTCCTTTAGTCGCCTCTTACTATACCCACGAGAAAAGAAGGGATGGCGTATTCTAAGTCGGGACCACACGGCCTAGTGAGTTCATTAACTAACTTATCTATATTTACGCCAAGCCCTGTGGGATGTAGACAGAGTTCGAACTGTTAAAGATCTGTCGGTTTATCCTTACATACATCTCTTTTTTACTTCAATTTCATAACCATTCATACACGCCGGTTCCAAGCAAATAACACGGGCTATAAACTATAAAAAGTCCCGTTATCCACTTATACAGCGTGTAAAGTACAGGTTGGCAAAAAGTGATAAAAAGTGAATTCAGACCAATATTCTGAACTGAAAATCAGCGGAAATTCCTTCCGGAAATTTTAAAATTTCTTTCCTTTTTTAAAATTATGTAATCTACAATATTATGTCATGATATAAAGAAATAATAATGTTTTATAGTGAAATACATGCAATGTCATACACGTATTAAAATCCTATAGCGACTTGCGGAATCAGCTGTGCAAGGTCAACGTCACGAGCGTTTTTTTTTTTACAACACAGGGGGCAAACGAGCATGCGGCTCACCTGATGGTAAGTGACTACCGCCGCCCATGGTCACCCACAACACCTACGGCATTGCGGGTGTGCTGCCGGCCTTTTAAAAAGGAATATGCTCTTTTGTTGAAGGTTATGTTGTCGTATCGGTTCGGAAATACTGCTGCTGGAAGTTAATTCCAAAGACCGGTTGTGCGTGGGAGAAAGTTCCTTGAAAAGAGTACAAAAACTACCTACGAAGAAGCGCCATTGACCGCGCGGTGTAGATATTTCGCGTCGCGTGGAGCACAGTACGTCGTAAAATTTCAAATACATTGCGCGGCGTCAAAACTAAGGATCGTTAATTATACGACTGTGGAGCATTTCAGATGCAAAAATAATCTGCCATCTTATTAAGACAATTCATCTGAATCAGCTGTTTTCGTTTCGTCCAAGCTGTCACTTTCACCCTGTATATTATAATATTTAAGACAAACTCACCCACTGCCAAATCTCCTGGCTGCTCATCGGCTGATCCATGAGCGCGTTCTGCCACACCCTGAACAGCATCAGGTAGGCCTTGTCACGACCGGAGAACGATGTGAGGAAGTTCTTCTCGGTCTCGGTGCACACCAATATTGCGTTCGGGATAACCTGGCCATGGAGGATTGATGGTATTGGTGATCGATACTTTGTGGAATTCGGAGTTAAAAACTTCTTTTTTCGTTTTACTTTTTATGTTTGACTAGCTGTTTCCCGTGGCTCCGTCCGCATGTATCAGTAATGGCATTCACATCCGTTCAATAGTTTGTGTGTGACAGAGTAATAAACATACATTCATCTATCGTTAAATACATTAACATTTATTATATTAATAGGAAGTACTACAGCGTCTCCTAGCGGTCACTTTTTTTGAAACGACTTTAAAAAGAAGGTTCTCAATTTTGTTGCATGTTTTTTTTTTTATGTTTATTACTTAATAACTTTGTCAATTATAAACCGATTTGACAAATTCTTCTTTTTATCTGAAAGGACATATTTATAGATTGGTCTCGTAGAAATTTTGCCAAAATCGATTCAGTAGTTTATCAAAATATTTATTAATCAAAATAACTACAAAATACCAGAGGGAGACTTTGTACAAAAGTCGATTGCTTGGCTACCTCTGTCCCATTCGTGTTTCTACCGTGAAGCAGTTGTGTTTGCATGGCTGTGTTTCGGTTTGAAGGGTGATATATGACAGTGAATTTACAGGGTACAGAGGAATAACACCTGAGTCCTCGGGAATGGCAACGCATGGGGGATATCATGGGCGAAACAGTATACTCTGTTATGTCCATGGTACTGCTTATGTCTGTAGGCGACGGTTACCACTTTTCATCAGGTGGGCCGTCAGCTTGTTTGCCATTCTAAGTTGTATAAAAAAAAAACAGGTTATCACATAGTTGAAGTCTTTTTTTTTATGGAATACAATCTTAAATTGTTTGTTTATTTCTGATATTCATTATAATCACATCGCCATTACCTATTCATTACTGAATATAGGCTTCCCCCATAAATTGCAGGGTTTTGTCAATAGTTGCCACGTTTGGCAAGCGGGTTGGCAACCGCAGTTATTGACGCTACTGTCCATCACACGACCCTAAGTTCCCTTAGTCGCTTTTTACGATATTCACGAGAAAGGAAGGGGTGGCCCATTCTATGCCGGGACCACACAGCGAAATCTGGTATTAAAACTATCCAAAAATAAAAAAAAAACAGGGTTAATGTATTTACTCTTCATAAGGACATTGTAACAACTCAATATTATGCACATGCATGCATTATAATAATAAAAATAAAACTACACTTTTTATCCCGGACTCGAGGCTGAGGACCCGGGTAAAGGGTAGTAGTTTCAGAGATGTTTCCTCCCACGAACACTCAGGTTATGGAATGAGCTCCCTGCCGAGGTTTTCCCAAGAGACTACAGCATGGGGTTCTTCAAAAGGGGGGTAAAGAGGTTTTTTCAGGGTCGACAACGCGCGTGTAATACCTCTGGTATTGCAGGCGTTCATAGGCTACGGTAACCGCTTACCATCAGGTGAGCCGTATGCTTGTTTGCCACCTTAGTGGTATAAAAAAAATAGTAAGTGATAAACGTATAAGGTGTACCAGCGCGGTCTTCTCCTTGGTGATGGCGGTGACGTCCTTCCAGCGCAGCGAGAGCGACGTCTCCCAGCCGAAGATGCTCGCGTAGAAGCACAGGTAGTTCTGCGACGCGTACAGCCGCCCGTGCATCAGGATGTCCTTCTGCAGCGCGCACGAGTAGTCTGCACATAAATATACAATTGGAAAATACTTATTAATGGAAAAAAAAACCTTACAAATGCAGTAGTTTATTGCACACCCCTACGATTTTTTAAAGTTCCCCTCGATTTCTCTGGTCTGTCATCATCAAACCCTGATTTCCTTAGCATGAGACCACTTTTGAAATATCTCCTTTCCAACAAAAAAAAAAACAAATAAAAAGAATCATCAAAATCGGTTCATAAACGACGAAGTTATCCGCGAACAAATAAAAAAAGCATATTTACGGTCGAATTAAGAAACCTCCTCTTTTTTTTTAAATTGGTTAAAAATACATCCAACGTTATTTATTATTTATATTACTTTCAAGGTACATAATAATAATAATTATTTGGATGGATGAACGTTTGTTGCTCTTTCATGCAAAAACTACTGAATGGACATGAATGAAATTTGTTACACGGATAGATTATATCCTTAGATTATATAGATAGAGAATCGTGAATTTACTGGGTACGGAGGAATAACACCTGAGTCCTCAGGAATGGCAACGCATGGGCGGTATCATGGGCGAAACAGTATACTCTGTTGTGTCCATGGTACTGCTCATGTCTATAGGCGACGGTTACCACTTTCCATCAGGTGGGCCGTCAGTTTGTTTGGCATTCTAAGTTGTATAAAAAAAAAAGAGAATCGAGCCTCAAAAAACGAGTCAGCTAATTGACAAATTATTTTATAGTGAACAATTATTATATATAATAATCCTCTCTATTTCGAGAGTTTTGTTGGCAAGCGGTTTGGCAACCTCAGACTATGGTGATGTCTTAAGAGAGACGCTGTTGCCCATCCTTCGACTATTAAGTTCCCTTAGTCGCCTCTTACGACACCCACAGAACAGGATGGAGGAGGAGGGGGGGGGGGATAATCGTCAATGCTACACATATATATACACTAACCTACAATGAGCCTCTCGTCATCAGGCAGGTCCTTGAAGATCCGTTTGAAATCATCCGATTTACTCTTGTACGTGGGGTAGAGTGCGTTGTACCAGCTTTTCTTCTTGCGGGTGCCGTCGACGCGGGCCGCGTTTGGTGAGGTCACCTGGAGAGCCAACGAGAAATAAGAATTTAAAAAACAATAATAGAAACTATATTCAATAATATACTTTTGCAGGGGGGAAAGGGATTGTTAGTAATGGAGTCTGAGAATCCCATTGCTAGCAATATACCCAACCAGGTCGACCTTCACGTGGTCCCCTGGAAACCATTGGGGCTAAACGTTGGCTGTATTTTTTTAATCGTTTTTTTTTTTTTAATTTGCGGAGGAAAATGCACTTGTTTGGATGAAAGGATTTCCATGCAATTCAACCCTACCTGTACCTTTGGGTTGTCGCTCTTGACGGAGGCGGCGTTCGGTGACGCGAGTACGGTGGCAGGCTCGGTGCTGGAGACGGACGAGGAGTCACCACCTCCACCAGCACTCGCGGTGGTCGGCACATATATTGACTCCGCACTCTGCTGTACAAACCACGTACCACAATTAACACATTACAATTTACAAATAATTATGAGCATGAATATGTAACGGTAACTTTTTTTTATATACAACTTAGAATGGCAAACAAGCTGACGGCCCACCCGATGGAAAGTGGTAACCGTCGCCTAGACATGAGCAGTACCATGGACATAACAAAGTATACTGTTTCCCCCATGATACCCCCCATGCGTTGCTATTCCTGAGGACTCAGATGTTATTCCTCTGTACCCAGTAAATTCACGCCATAGTATTATTGACTGGTTAAGTTTTAACTGCAAATTATTCATTTACGAAGCGTAACGAGTCAATAATAAGCATACAATATTTTCATGTTTAATCACATGCGCATAGGCAATTATGTATTTCACGTCTAACAATATGATAGGCGTAATGAGTAACAAACAAAAGATTTATTTGGGAATGATTCATTAACAATTGTACCTGGAGGTAGCACGTGAACATAGGCGCATGATAAGATTCGGCTGAGAACACACGCGTTTGTAGAGTTTAAATCATGGTGCTATATTGCGAGCATGTGGAAAGAATGTCGGATGTAAGGATGAAGGGGAAAAAGGTATAGAGTGCAAAAGTAGAAGGAAAAATACAAATGCATTGAGAGACCCTTTTTCTCAAAAAAAATTTTTTAAAGGGCATTCCATACCCCAATTCCCATCTGTGCTATCGGTATACGCTGGCGGGACACCAGTGAGGGATGATAAGTGTGAATGAAAGGGCAGGCCTCAGGGTATATTGTTAGCAACAGGACTAGTGGTTCGCATTACTAATAATCCCTTCCCACTGACGGACTGGTAGTCCGCATCATTAGCAAACCTTTCTCCCCGGATGACAGCAGGTCAGACCGTCATGACGAATTCCATAAGAATTAACCACGATGATTTCCAGTGGGATCCGCGTGAAGGTCGCTAGCAATGAGGCTATTAGATCTCATTACTCTTTCTATTTCTGCCAAAATTCTACTTTATTACTTACCTTGTCATTTTCAATCAAGTCCAAGCCGTCAGCTGTTCGTAAAGATGGCGATGGGGACCGCGACACGCTCCTGAAATGTACATATCGATCCTTAATGTCAACATTATAAATTCAAAAGTTTGTAAGCATGGACAGATAGATGGATGTTTGTTGCTCTATTACACAAAAGCTACTGAACGGATTTAACAGAAATTTGGTACACGGATAGATTATATCGTCATAGTCGTAGAATACTGACGGATCTTTATATGTAATATTCGTCAGATCCGTCAGTATTCTACGACTATGACGATATGTCAACTTAGTAATGGGGTAATCTATATACTTATTCACGCGGGCAGAGCCTTAGAATATAGCTAGTCGTGATGTATATTATATTATTTTATGAAATCCTCGGAAAAGTGAGGTCGCTCCGTGAGGCATGTGAAGATCCCAGGAAGCTTCTGTGCTTCTGGGCGGAGCTGGGCTGGCTGTACTAGCCACGACTCGTGCGCACAATAGCAGAAATGAGAGGCTTGGCACGGAAAAAAGAGTCTAATTTACATTTATATTATTCGGTTCATATACATAGCTTGTTTGCCATTCTAAGTTGCATAAAAAAAAATCTAAGTAATTTTAAGGGAGCGGTGCATTGGTAAAAACCAATGCACCGTGTGGTCCCGGCATAGAATAGGCCACCCCTTCCTTTCCCGTGGGTGTCGACACAAGCGAGTAAGGGAATTTAATCCTTCTTTGCATAACGGTGGAAATTTCCATCATAACATTGAATGCCCAAAAAATATATAAAAGAACAAGTTCACTTTAAGTTGATCGTGTCTGGATACCTTTTTAATGTCCATTGCAGAAAAAAAAAATAAACATAGCTGTCAAATTTATTTTTATAAGTATTTTTTCTTTAATTTTGAACATAAATTATATTACCTTGATTTATTACATCAATAAAAAAAACCATGCAAAGAAGGGTTAATGGTAGAGGCAGCTGCGTCCCTCTTAAGAAATCACCAAAGCCTAACTGCGGTTATTAACCCGCCTGCCAAATGTGCCGAATATTGACAACTTATTAACTTAACTCCCCTCTTATGGGGAAGGCTTATGTTCAGCAGTGGACAGTTAACGGCAAATAGGACGATGACGTTCTATCAATGGAATCATTCTATTAAGATCTTTAGTGTTATTTATGCAATAGTAATTTTATAGAATATAACTGAAAAACAGTATCTTGCTCTCAGAAAAATGTTTCCACTGAGCTAAGTTTCCACTATTTTGTTAAGAGACAGAGGGACTGGCTGAAAACCAGCGACGTGTAGCTGTTCACATTGCGCTGGGACACTCATAGCATCAGCTGAGTAGTTTCCTTTTGCCTAGTATGGGACACTTCTTGTATATGTGTTTTCTATATTTTCTATTGTGATTGTGTGTTTACTGGCATTAAATGTTTTCTAATCTAAGGATGTCGCTTGGCCCACACAGCCACACTAATCGCCTGAACCCCGAGCTAGGATACAATATGCTATGTGAAACCAGACAAGGAGCTTCAGGATACAATCCAGAACACCGGGGGGAAGGGGATTGTTATTTTCATTAATATAAGTATAATAATTTATAACCAATACTTATATACGTATATGTATATAATATTAGAAGAAATAGTTCACAATTTAAATTACAAACTTGACTAAGTCTTGTAAAACTTTAATATATTTAATGGTAACACTAAAAAAATTCGTTTTGATTAATAAAAATATATGTCAAATTGATTCAACCAAATGTCAATTTAGGTGACAAAATTTTGAGACATTTTTGACATCTTATGCTCTATATAATCTAATCTGCGAACATTCAAACGTCTAGTATTTTTTTTTAAATGTATGATAATGGATTGGTAACCTCGCCTGCGCTAACGGTATACGCTGGCGGGGCACCAGTGAGGGATGATGGTGAGGGATGAGGTGACAATGAAAAGGCAGGTCAGTTAGCCTATCTTGATGGATTCACTTGGAAAAGAACACGATAGTTTCCAGGAGGAACCGCGAGGAGGTCGACCTGACAGGGTGTATTGCTATCTCTAGTATTGTAAGCTTATGGATGATAACCCACTCAAAACCGACAAAATTCACGTTGTAAACAAACCCACGGTTAAAGCATAGTTTTGCAGTACGTCTTAATTTCAAGTATTCGAGCTGTGTCATGTAAAATGGTCCAATTCAAAATCCTGAGGGAGACTTTGTACAAAAGTCGATTGCTTGGGTACCTCTGTCCCATTCGTGTTTCTACCGTGAAGCAGTTGTGTTTGCATGGCTGTGTTTCGGTTTGAAGGGTGGGATATGGCGTGAATTTACAGGGTACAGAGGAATAACACCTGAGTCCTCAGGAATGGCAACGCATGGGGGTATCATGGGCGAAACGGTATACTCTGTTATGTCCATGACACTGCTCATGTCTATAGGCGACGGTTACCACTTTCCATCAGGTGGGCCGTCAGCTTGTTTGCCATTCTAAGTTGTATAAAAAGAAAAATACTGGCAAAGAGGTACAATTAAAATTACCTCGGTACAATTTAAAAATAACTCGCATTTGTATGTAATAAGTATTTGTATGTTGCCTCGATTATAAACGCACTTCCTCATTACAATGTCAAACAAAGAGTTATTAAACTAACCAGTTTTTTTATTGGATAAAAGATAGGATTTTTAATGTTTTTTTTTTATTTTTTTATTGGAAGAAAATGGAGTGGTAACCCCGCCTGCGCTAACGGAATACGCTGGCGGGGCACCAGTAAAGGGTGATAGATGAGAATGAAAACAGGCCAGTTAGCCCATCATGATGAATTCATCAGGAATTAACCGTGATAGTTTCCAGGGAGAACAGAAGGTTGGGTATATTGCTAGCAATAGGATTCTCAGTCTCCATTACTAATAATCCCTTTCCCCCCGTATCGATGTATTATATGTACCTATTTATTATGACCGGGAATACTGGACTACATACATACATACATATCTGTCACGCCTGTCTCCCATTAGGGTAGGCAGAAACAATGCAGAAATACTGGACTAATATTAACAAATGACGTGTCGTTCTCACTCTTTGCCTTAGGTCAAAATGACTTTACTTAAGTATGCTGTGTACTAAGCTGTGTAAGTTATTAAAGTTTTTTAACTATCTCACGGGAACTCTTTTAGTTTTCCATGATTAACAGTAATTAAAATGTTGACCGGGGATGTAAGGTACTACCATGCAAAATTTCGTTTAAATCGGTCCAACGGTTTCGGAGATTAGCCCCTAAAAAAACAAACAGACAAACAAAAAATTTTAATCGAGTCTGGATGTATCTATTTCACTTCTAACATCCTCTTGACTCGGTTTTTAGAGTTTTTTTTATGTACAAACATTGAACCTCTAGTTTTAATCTATGTATATATCTATAGGTAACACATAAATATAATTTTACAACATTTAAAATTTATTTTCATTTATATATAATATAATAACAGCTGTAACCCGTGGCTTTGTCTTTATATTAAGCAATATAAATGTTATTCAAACCCATTTAGTCTTGTACAAATAACAAAACATTTACCAGAGGGAGACTTTGTACAAAAGTCGATTGCTTGGGTACCTCTGCCCCATTCGTGTTTCTACCGTGAAGCAGTTGTGTTTGCATGGCTGTGTTTCGGTTTGAAGGATGGGATATGGCGTGAATTTACTGGGTACAGAGGAATAACACCTGAGTCCTCAGGAATGGCAACGCATGGGGGGTATCATGGGCGAAACAGTATACTCTGTTATGTCCATGGTACTGCTCATGTCTATAGGCGACGGTTACCACTTTCCATCAGGTGGGCCGTCAGCTTGTATGCCATTTTAAGTTGTATAAAAAAAATCCCAGTTTCATATTACGAGTAATAAAGTCGATAAGATCAGTTGGTGTTAGATTCTCCCGGTGTTTGTTTCTAAACAACTCACTCTTTGTACATAACCTATAAATACCTATGCAACTTTGTAAAATTAACTCGTTGCCAAAACCTAGTTATGCCTGTCAATTACCGTACGTATGTAAAAGCTGTAAATATCAAGTTGTTTATATAACTGCTAAAATTTACACAACCACTGAGTGTAATCGAAATGTATGCAAGTTTTTAGGGATTGTTCTAGTCAGTAAAAATTGCATAATTCAAAAATATTTTTCATTGTTTTTCTGCTTATAATTCTACATACATACATACATATCTGTCACGCCTGTCTCCCATTAGGGTAGGCAGAAACAATGGAACGCCAAATGCTTCGATTCCAACAAACCTCTTATGATTCTATGGGGAAAATATTTAGATTCACAAATTTATATACAGAAATATAATTTTTAATAATTATAATTCATTATTTTGTTAATGAAAATGAAACGCTAACCACGCTATGGGTTTACGTTAGCAGGGTACCAGTAACGGATCATAGGTAAAGATGAAGTCAGAACATTTAACCCAATTCACCAGGAATTAATCACAATGGTTTCCAAGGGGGAACAGGTGGATGTCGACCTGATAGTTTCTTAAATATTTAAAAGCTCGTACACGATCCACCAAGAACAAACACGTTTACCATTTTAACCCTTCTTTGCATGATTTTTTTTTATTGGTGAAATAAATCAAGGTTCAAAATTAAAGGAAAAATGGTTAAGAAAATAAAATTGACAGCTATGTTCTTTTTTCTGCGATGAACATTCAAAAGGTATCCAGACACGATCAATTTAAAGTGAACTTGTTCTTTTATATATATTTTGGGCATTTAATGTTATGATGGAAATTTCCACCATTACGCAAAGGAGGGTTAACAATGGATTAATCCCATAACTAGTGGAGCTTTGTCAACAATAATACACTAAAACAATTAGATTAAAAAGAATGATTTACTTACGAAACTTAACAATAACCCTGTCTACCCCTAAACTAGTCGAGAAGATGACTCACAATGACGGTAACACTCACATTGTCGCCCTGTATTTGTTTTGTACCATAGTGCATAATCACTTATCGAGTGTAACAATGAACTGTGATGGTAACAGTCAAACGCCGA